AGTGGTGTGAGCCAGTAGTACCCCTACTCAGGAGGCTGAGGCAGGAGGATTACTTGAGCCTAGGAGTCAGAGACCAACCTGGGCAACATACCAAGACTGTATCTCAAGGACAAAAACAAAAAAATACTAGTATGGTAGCACTTTTGTTTTGTTTTGTTTTGTTTTTTGCGACAGAGCCTCACTGTATAGTCCAGGCTGGCGTCAAACTCGCAGTGACCCTCATACCTCATCCTGTCTAGTGCTAGGATCACAGCAGGAGCCGCCACACCCAGCAGTAGCACTTTTATAGAATAAATAATAAATAAAAGTTTGTAGCTTGAGGACATACTCTTAGATTATTTTTACTGACAGGAATATACAAAAACTGTACCTGGTGGCTGGGGTTGTGATTATAATTTCCTGTGGTGCACAGCTATAATCCAAGCACTGTTTAAGGCTGAGACAGGGGGATCACAAGTTGAGTCCAGCCTGAGCCATTTAACAAGGCTGTTTCTTCTTCTTCTTCTTCTTCTTCTTTTTTTTTTGTCTTTTTGAGACAGGGTTTCATTTTGTAGTTTAGTCTGGCCTTGAACTCAATTTGTGGCCCATGCTGGCCTGGAACTTGGAGCCAACTTCTAGCCTCAGCCCTGCCCCCCCACCCCATGCTGGAATTACAGGCATGCGCCACCATGCCCAGCCTACAAAGTTTTTTCTTAAAATTTTAAAAAAAGAAGGGGGAAAGGATGGAGCTGGAGACGTAGCTCAGTTCAGAGGCCCTAAGTTCAGTCTCCATTATGACAAGAAAATGAAAACAATAAACTTGTTAGCCAGTTTAACGCTGCACCAAACTTTAATTCTAGGACCAATCTCAAAAGTTATAACAAGGGGCTGGGGATATAGCTCAGTAGCACAGCATCTGCCTGGCAAGCACAAAGTTCAGAGTTCGATTTCTGATATCAAAAAAAAAAGTGAGCTAGGCGTGGTGGCACACACCTGTAATCCCAGCACTCAGGGGGCTGAGGCAGGAGGATCGTTGCGAGTTCAAGACTGGCCTCTGCTACAAAGTGAACTCAAGACCAGCCTGAACTGCATAGCAAGACCCTGTCTCAAAAGGACAAAAAAGAAAATAATAATAACATCACATCATACTTTACAAAGTTTCCTAGCACCTCATGAACGGTAATACAGACACAGGCTTGGACAGTACAGTAATCACTGTGTTCAGGTGTAACTGTTGCCTGTGCAATTATGAAAACATTCTCATGGTGTTAAAAGTTTACTATGCTTCCATAAGGGAAGGGAAAGTTGAGGTTTTAGCAGAGCAGAAAAACACTAGCTTTAAAAATGAAATCAGAAACCAAAGTATTTCAGCTTCTCTGGTAATCCGGAATGATAACTAATGCAAATTGAAACGTTAAAGTGTGGTTTCTTGCCATCAAATTGGCAGAATTGTTAACCTCCGATGACTATCCAGGTCCAGCCTTGGTGAAGATGGGCGGCCGTGGAGATGTAGAGTGATACAGTCACTCTGGACGATAATCTGGCCACACTTTCATAGACAAAAATACTCATATTTATGATCCAGCCAGTCACAGTCTCCGGCTCTAACCTGGCATACGCACGCAGGGTTATTGCAGCACTGCAATCCACAGGAAACAACCAACCACCCATAGGGAAATGGTTAAAAAGGTTGTTGAGAAATTGAAATAATAATTCACATTATCATAAACTTCACCATTTGAAAGTGTACAGATTTTTTTCTTTTTTTTAAGACAGGGTCTCACTATGTAGTTCAGCCTGACTTTGAACTCACTATGTAGCCAAGGCTGGCCTCGAACTCATGGTAACCCTCCTGCCTCAGCCTCCCAAGTGCTGGGATTACAGGCATGCACCACCATATCTGGGTACAGTTGGGTTTTTACAAGTAGTTTTCACTATATTTCCAGGGTTCTGTATCTGTCACCTCTAGTTCCAGAACATTTTCATCATTCCAAAAATGCAACCCTTTACCCAGTAACCATTCCTTCCCATTTTCCTCTTCCTGTATCCCCTGAAAACCACCGATCTGCTTTCTGTTTCTGAATTTGTCTGTTCTGTACATTTCAGATAAATGAAGTCATATGGTATTTTTTGTATATGTAATGGCTTTATTGAGCTAGAGTTCACATGCTATATGACTCACCTATTTTAAAGGTACAATTCAGTGGTTTTAGTATATTTGCGGGATTGTGCAACCATTACCACAGTTGATCTTAGAACATTTCATCACCCCGAAAAGGAGCCACCAGCCAGGTGTGGTACACACCTGTAATCCCAGCACTCCGGAGGCTGAGGCAGGAGGATTGCTGCGAGTTCGAGACCAGCCTGGGCTACAAAGTGAGCTCAAGGCAAGTCTGAACTGCAGAGCAAGACCCTGTCTCAAAAGAAAAGAAAAGAAAAGAAAAAAGAAAAGAAAAGAAAGGAGCCACCATCGTCTTTAGCTATCATCCATAAACCTTCTCCAAGCCTAGGAAACGCTTTCTACCTGTGTGTTTGCCTGTTCCGGATGTTTTGTATAAATGCACTGGTAAATATGTGCTCTTTCTGTTTCTGGCTTCTCTCACTTAGCATATCTTCAGGACTCACCCATATTGTAACATTTATCAATACTTCCTCCATTTTTATTGCTGAATAATATGCCAGCCGTCATATGATTTTACTGCATTTTGTTTATCCATTCATTAGCTGGTGGGTATTTGGAATTTTCCCTTCTTTTGGCTGCTGTGAATAATGCTATTATGAACACCTGCACATAAGTTTTGGCATAAACCTACATTTCCAGTTCTCCTGGTTGGAGTTTCTGGATCATTTGGTAACTACATTTAACTTTTTGAGGAATTGCTAAGCTGCAGTATTTTACATTCACATCAGCCGTAGATGAAGGTACTCACTTCTCCATCTCCTTGGCAACTCTTGTGGTGGAGGGATCCCTCTGTTTGTTTTGTTTTGTTTTGCAGTACTGGCGATTGAACCCAGGGTCTTTGCAGTGAGCTACAAGTTGCTTAAGCTGGGCTCAAACTTGCTGTCCTCCCGTATCAGCCTCCCAGAGTGCCGGGTTTACAGATATGCACCACCGCCGTGCCAAGCTTCCTTTTTTTTGGGGGGGGGTGGTTCTGAGACAGGGTTTTACCCTGTGGTTCAGGTTGGCCTTAAATTCACTTTGTATCTCAGGCTGGCCTCAAATTTGCAGTGATCCTCCTGCCTCAGCCTCTTGAATGCTGGGATTGCAGGCATACACCACCATGCTTGGCCCAAGCTTCCTTTTTTTTTAAAAAAAAGAATGTTATAGCTATCCTAGCTGTGAGAAGTGCATCTCGTTGCAGTTTTCATTTGAACTTCCCTAGTGATGTACAATGTGGAACATTTTTTCTGTGTTTGTTATGCTATCTTTGTCTCCTTTGGAGAAATAGGTACTGTATTATGGGATTTTCATGTAAATCTGTTAAAAGGGATGAGGCAGCTCTCTAGTCATCTGTGATTAGACTTCTGAGATTTCGTACTCAGCAAACTAGCAAGCAGTAGAATATCACTGTACTATAAGTTGGATATAAATGTACGCAAGTGTGTCATTCCTGTACTGCACACACGTACACACTAGTAGTGTGCAAGTAAGTGTGTGGACGTAAGAAGGTAAGGAAGTGTGCTGAAAGAGTCTCCAGACTCATCAAGACCAGGGTGTGGTAGGATATGATCAAAAAGGGCTTTTTTCTTATAGAATTTCACATGGTATTCATAACTGTTAGACCACCAAAAAGTTTTAAAGACTATTTATTTATTTATTTGTTGGTGCCGGGAATCCAACGCAGGACGTCGTACTTGCCAGGCAGGCGCTATGCTGCTGAGCTATACCCCCGGCCCTTAAAAATCTTTAAAATAAAACATACAGTTTGAAAAAACAAGAAAAAGGAGCCGTTGGAGAGCCCCAGCAGGAGAGCTGAGGTCGGCGCTGCACCACCTGGCCCCAGACATGCTCAGCGGCTCCCTTGGAGCTCGGCCCCATGTGGTCCCGTCCCTTCCTGCTGCTGCTGGGACCAGCTCCTTGCGGACGGCGCAGCTTCCTCTGAGCACCCTGGCCGTGGCTGACCTGCAGACCTCCTTGGTCACCCCACCCGCTCCCCAGAGGTAGTGACTTCGCAGGCCTGGAGTGCTGCCTGGCATCTTTACGTTATAAAAAGCTCCCGCGGTGATTCTGATGAGCCAGCAGGGTTAGGAATGATGGTCCAGCAAGTAACCGAGAGTGGTCACAACTTACACAGTGGTGCTTCATCAAGAATTATTTTTGGTGAGTACTTGAGGAGTGACGAGCCTGTCGGCCTTATGGAAGCTTGCTGCACTCAGACGGTGTGCTTTCTTCGGGAATTTCAGAGCTTTCACTCTGGGTTATTTTCAGCATTGGGGTTTTATCTCCAACTAAATATTCAACATAGAGCCGCTGTCTGAATCAGAGAAAGTGATCTTGGGTTGTTGGTTTTTTAATAATAAAATGGCGTCTAAGCTTTTGCTTTTTTTTTTTTTTTCTTTTTTGGAGACAGTCTTGGCCTTGAACTACTATGTAGTCCATGCTGGCCTCAAACTTGTGGCAGTCTTCCTGCTTCAGCCTCCTGTGTGCTGAGATTATAGGTGTGTGCCACCTTTGCCCAGCTGCTTTTGCCATTTCACATTGAAAATAGGTACATGTGTGAAAAACAGCAGGGCGGTCCATGTTCAGGCCGAGCAGAGTGTATTGGGTCTTGTTTTATAAAGCTTTTCCCTTAGCACAAACCTCTAGATTGCTGTGTTTGCGTGCGAAGCAGGTGACAAACTTGCATGACTTACGGAACTGTACACTAATTCCCGGTCTTATATTTTCAGTCAGAAAATTTGTAGAACTCCATCAAAACCCTCTGGAGACACAATGGATAATATTGTTTTTCTAGAATAATAAGCCAGAGTCATCTTTGTCATGTTTAAATTTATGTCAAACTTTATATTTTCTCTTCCAGGTATTCTCATGGGAGCAGTTATAAAAATTATAGAGTTTAAAAAACTGGCAAATTGGAAGGTAGGTCTATCTGACTTCATTTTATAATGTAATTTTTGGAGGTGGTTTACTTTAGTAACATTGATACTCATGCTGGCTTTCTTATCATTGCATCACTCGTATTGGCCCATTCATTTTTTTTCTAGTACTAGAGATGGAACCCAGGGCCTTTAGACTGAACTAAATTCCCAGCCCCCGCCCCTTTTTTTTAAATTTTGAGACAAGGTCTCACTGTTGCTTGTGCAGGCTGGGCTCGAGCTTGTGATCCTCCCCTCTCAGCCTTCCAGAGTGTCGGGGTTAGTTAAATGTGTACTTGGCCTGCTCCATTACTTTTTTTTTTTTTTTTTCCTTCAGTACTGGGAATTGAACTCACAACCTTGCGCTTGCCAGGCAGGTGCTGTGCCGCTGAGCTAAATCCCCAGCCCCCCTCCTTTTTTTTTTGTGACAGGGTCTCCCTTACAGTCCAGGCTGGCCTTGAACTCACTGTGTAGCCCAGGCTGTGCCCATTTTTCCCATTAACTTTTTTTTCCCCATTTCTTTTTAAACATTTTGTTAAATGCTTTGATTTTGTTAAATGTTTAGATTCAAGTCAATACCCTTACACATGATTTTTAGAAAAAGCATAAATTGCCCATTATTTCAAGTGAATATGGCAGCACTCAGTGTCTTTTTTTTTTTTTTTTTGAGACAGGGTCTCACTATGTCGCCCAGGCTGGCCTCCAACTCACAGTGACCCCCCTGCCTCAGCCTCCCACATGCTGGGATCACAGGCGTGCGCCCCCAGGCCCGGCTTCAGTGTCATATTTCGTTTTGCGTGCATTGTAATAACCCTAGACTAGTTCACTTGATGGGGCCTCTAATTAGCGTTAAACACTAAGCTGTCTGTTTTTCCGATGCAGCCCTTACAGTAGGGGTAATAGCATGTACCTGTCCAGCACTGCCGGCCATAGAACACTTTCTGTCCACTTCAGCTCGTGTTGTCCTCACTGCAGCCATCTGAGGTGGACTGACCAGCTGTATCGTCACCTCATTTTTGCGGAGAAGAAAGAGGCGCCCAGGGAGAGAGCTTGGGACACGTCCAGTCGCAGAGCTGGAGAGAAGGTGGCAGGGTCGAGTCTTGTGTTCAGCGCCCCCTCCCGGTGTAGTGTTTTCCGCGCCACACCTCGCTGCCCTTAGCTTGCTGCTGGAGCTGCCCCATTTCCGCGGTGCTTATGAGGGCGTGGACATCACCTTGGGGTCTCAGGGCTCCCTACAGTCAAATTTCAACGTAGATTCCAGCGTCCGTATCGAGTGGAGAGAGATTGATGAGTGTATTACAAAGTTCGTTTTGTGAAGGGAAATGAGGTTCATTTCAAAATCATGGTTGTGTGGTTAAAACTTACCACATTGGAGCTCTTCCTACTTTGGTGGAGCTTCTGGGTGCTGAGATTAATTTACCTGTACTATAAAATGTGCAAAGCAAGCCTTATGGTCTGACCTCAAACACAACTTGAAACTATTATAAGTAATGTTCAATGATATTCAGGAACATTCTGGAAGTATTCTATGTATCACATGAATTCTCAAGAGCATATGCTGTGGGCCTGGTATATAGAGAGCGCCCCTCACTGGCGAGGGGTGAGGAAGGCCGAGAGGCCCCTGGAGCACAGTCTCTCTGCCTTGCTGCGCCTTGGTTAAAATTAGCCACCCCTTGGAGGAGGGGTTGAAGGGAGTGTAGGGAGTGGGGAAAAAGGAGGCAGATAAAGTTAACCGCCCCAGGAGCGGCGCCTGTTAGGGAGGGTCACAGACTCCTAGGCTGATGTCACCTGTGAACCCATTTTTAGATTTTGATTTAAAACCCATTGATCAAGGTGGTGCATCCCAGGGGCTGGGGATTTAGCTCAGCAGCACAGCACTTGCCTGGCAAGCATGATGTCGTGAGTTCGATTCCTGGTACCAGAAAAAAACCAAAACCCCCCCCCAAAGAAAAAGGTGGTGCATCCGTTAACATAGGGTAGCACAGCAGTTAGGGACCAAAGACTGGGGGACTTAAAACCACAGGTTTGAGCAGGTGTTGGTGGCACACGCCTGTAATCCCAGCACTTGGGGGGCTGAGACAGGAGGATTGTCGTGAGCTTGAGGCCAGCCTGAACTACAACATGAGCCCATCCCAAAAAACAGAACAACAAATAAGTTTGTGCCCTCACAGTCTGGAGGCCACATGTTGAAAACAGAGGTGTGGGAAGGGCTGTGGGAAGAATCCTCGATTGTCTCTTGTAGCTTCTCATGGCCCTGGTGCTCCCTAGCTTGTGACAGCATAGCTCCCATCTCTGTCCCTGCCTTCCTGTGGCCATCTCCATGTCTCCACTTTCTGTGTCTTACAAGGTCACTTTAATTGGGTGTAGGACCCCCTGTCCTGATGCGAGCTCATCTCTGTCCTTGCCTTGTCTGGATCCTGACCCTCATACCTGCAGAGACGCTATTTCCAAGTTAGGCCACAGTGGAGAGCGACTTCCCGGGAGGACCCTGAGGACGGGAAGAGGGGTGCGAGAGAGGGGCGCTGTGCACCTTCACTGCGGACGTCTCTCCTTTTTCCCTCGGGTTTAGTTCCTGGATCTCCAGAAGGACCTGCCTGGCAGTCAGGCCGCTCGGGTCTGAGAGGAGGCACCCCATGAAATGCCCTGCTCAGCCCACTGCTTTGCGTGTAGGCGTGGTCTGAGCCCTGAGTGTTGCAGTGCTGATATTTTAAGACTTAATAGGGCATTTTCAGAAGTCATCATTTGCTTCTATTTTGAGTCTTTTTTGAATGTTATTTTAGATGAGGGTAACAGCTGTACATTTGTAAGAATACATTTAGTCATTCTTTTGAATAGCGATTCATTTTTTTTTTTTTGAATAGCTATTCTGACAAAAAATCAGACTGTCAAGACTGTGAGGGGAACATTCATAGGAAAAGGAGCCTAGTTTTGTAATATAAAATAGCACGTATATTACATGTTGCCATTTTTGGCTTAAGTGTCTTGCCCCAGTTCTACCAGTAATTAAAGACATTAACACAGACAATAAAGTTCTCACTGTTTCATCCCCTGAAGACGGCCATCGTTTAGAACACTTTTCATAGTGGCATTTAAGTTCAAGCCAGAAGGGCTGGGGATATTAGCTCAGTGGCACAGTGCCTGCCTGGCAAGCACAAGGTCCTGAGTTCAAGTTCCGGTACCAAAAAAATAAATTCAAGCTGGAGGGCCAGGCATACTGGTGCACACCTGTAATTACCACACTGGGGAGGCTGAGGCAGGAGGATCACTGTGAGTTTGAGGTCAACCTGGGCTACAAGGTGAGTTCAAGGCCAGCCTGAACTGCATAGTGAAATCCTGTCCCCCCAAAAATAAATAAAATAAATTCAAGCTGGAAAGCCTGGCACAGGGGCAGAGCTGTGGTGAACATGTGGGCTCTGCTGTTCTCTAAGTAGACCCTGCTGGAGCTGACCACTGCTTTTTCTGGAGGGTTCCGATTTGTGGAGTTGTTTTTGCGTGTGTTCTATCTGAATTAAAATAAATAAAATTAGTTGTCTTTCCTTAGTAAGGAGTAAAAAGCATACCCTTTGTGCTTGGAAGGAGTTCGTTGTGCTGTTTCTTTTGCTGGTTGCCCTTTAAAAAAAAAAATCTTGGATGGGCGTGGTAGTGCACGCCTATAATCCCAGCACTCAGGAGGCTGAGGCAGGAGAATCGTTCGAGACCAGCCTGGGCTACGAAGTGAGCTCAAGGCCAGCCTGAACTGCATAGGGACACCCTGTCTCAAAAAGACCAAAAAACAAACAAAACAACAACAACAAAAAATTTTACATCTCAGAATGCAGTTTAACTTCAGGTCTCTCTTTTAGCTTGGTTTTATTATCAGGTAGTCGTTTACACATCATTCATTTCCACTCTGAGAGAATTATTATTTCAACTCTTCATTGATTGATTTCCTGCTAGCATACACTGCACGCCTCTGAAAATACCCATTTTCTATTTACAGGAAGAGGAAATGTTCCGCCCAAACATGTTTTTCCTCCTCTTGCTTCCACCTATTATCTTTGAGTCCGGGTACTCTTTACACAAGGTAAGGTGGGCGCGTGCGAGTGGTTTTGCTCAGGGTGGCTCTTCAGGTCTGCAGGCCAAGTTTTCTGAGAGCTCAGGTAGTAATTCAGCAACACCCCATTCCTTCCTGGGAGCATACGGTGGAAGGTGAATGCATTGCCCAACTTCTGGGGGAGAATAGACAAGGTCTGTTAGCTGCTCCGATGGCTTCAGGCTGTGTGGCTTGTTGATCCAGCACTTGACAGAGCAGTACTTTGCCAGGGAAGATGGCCAGTGTGATTCTCCTTGGCACACAGAGGACACACGGACTTCTCGTGTTGGACATGGACTCACACTTGTTAGGAGGTCAGACTTTATCCCGAAGGAACAGGCACATGTACCCCAGGGCATTTGCTTCTCTCAGCTCGCCCCTGAGACCCCTGTCCCTCCTTAGGCGGATCCTTCCTTGTCTCCTCTGGGCCCTGTCCTGCACTTTAAGTCACAGTTACTCATCGCTGTCCCTCTGCCTCCATGTCTCCCTGCCCTCCCCAGCCCAGCTTCACCCTGCCAGGCTGGCTTCAGAGCCTTTCTGTCCTTCCCTCTCGTTCTCAGGTCCCTGACCTGGTCAGCTGGCCTGCAGTTTCTCTGCCTGTTTTTGCCTCCCAGCTCCCAGCCGGCAGCGTGGCCGGCCCTGCCCTCCAGCTCAAGTGTGGCGCTTGCCTGTCATACCTGTTGATGTGTCCACCAGGGTTCTTTTATCTCCTATGTTAATCTTTAAATGCTTTGGAGTTTTTAAATAGATTGATTCAATTTAAAGTAATAATACAGCAGATATTTTGAGAATGTCATAAAAAAATGGTGAGGGTTGGAAGAACTAAGGCTAGACCCATTCTGAAGTGGAGGAGAGGGCCTGAGAGGGCTTTGCACCCTGAGACTCATAGGGCTGATCATGTGCTGCCCCCTACAGGCTCCATGGTAGCTAAAAATTAAAAATAAAACCTCAAAAAAACCCCAAAGCCCTGCTTCCCATTGCTTTGAGGTCTATGCTAGATGAAAGATGGAAGCAAAGCACTGCTCAGCACACTAAAGAAGTGCAGTGCTCCTCCTCCTTGTTATGGTGATGTTATTATCTGGTCTTAATAATAACAGTTCTCTAGGGGGTCATAATGAGACCTTGTTGCTGGGCGTGGTGGCGCACTTGGGATTACAGCAGTGCACCACCACGCCCTGCCTAATTTTTTGAAAGAAGATAAATTTGTTCAAAATTGGAAGGAAAATAATAGTTTGTTAAAAAAATATTTCTTTGAAGATGAGTTTCCAGCAGAAAAATGTGGTATTTGATGTGAAAGGGACTTATGGGAGTGGGGAACCCCAATTCAGTCTTTTATCCACTCTCTGCTCTCCTCCAAAGAAGACAAAAGGTTGACTTTGAGCATTTTATTTTTTTAATTGCATATTAGATATATTCTGAGTTATATATATGCAACAGAATAATTTTTTACAACATTCCTTACAGACATTTGTGCGATTTACATAGTTATTTTTTATTTATTTATTATTTTGAGACAGGGTCTTGCTGGGTAGTCCAGGCTAGCCGCGAACACATGGTGATCCTTCTGCCTCAGCCTCCCAAGTGCCAGGGTTACAGGTGTGCGCCACCACACCCAGCTGAGTATTTTATTTTATTTATTTATTAATTTTTTTTGTCTTTTTTGAGACAGGGTCTTGCTTTGCAGTTTAGGTTGGCCTTGAGTTCACTTTGTATCCTAGGCTGGTCTCTAATTCGCAACGATCCTCCTGCGATCCTCCTGTCTCAGCCTCCCAAGTGCTGGGATTACAAGTGTGTACCAACCTGCCTGGCTAAAAAAATGAGATTCTTGTCCATACCAACAGTCAGGATTTAGTAGAGTGCACAGGATTCTAAGAACTTCATTTCCTTCATCTTATGGAATTTTTTTTTAAAATGTTTCACCTGCCCTGAATTTTTTTATTTTAAAGCAGTACTAGGGAGTGAACTCAGGGCCTTCACACTGAGCTACATCCCCCCAGCCCTTTTTATTTTTTTTGTTTTTGCTAAGTCACTAAGTTGACCAAGCTGGGTTTGAATTTAGGATCCTCCTACCTTAGCCTACCAGAGTGCTAGGATTATATGCCCAGCTAATCCTATGGAAATTTGGAATATGTCACTATCCTATTTCGACTTGAATATTTTCTCTTAAATGTTGTGAAGGATACATAGATATATATTGTATCTGACAAATTTGGTGATAAGCCAGTTGTGGTGCACACCTGTAATCCTAGCACTCGGGAGCTGAGGCAGGAGGATCCTTGCAAGTTTTAGACCAACCTGGGCTACATAGTGAGTTCAAGGCCAGCCTGAACTACGTAGAAAGACCCTGTCTCAAAAAATAAAATTGATGGTACTAATAGAGTGACATAAAATTATGAAAAGACCTGAAGCCAGGTGTGGCGGTGCATGCCTGTAATCCCAGCACTGGGAGGCTGAGACAAGAGGACTGCTGGCCTGGGCTACAAAGTGAATTCAAGGCCAGCCTGAACTGCATAGAGAAATTCAGTCTCAAAAAGGCAAAAAAAGAAAAAAAAAAAAAAGACCTGGATGGCAAAAAAAGTTTCTGATGTTATCCCCTGTTGTCTTGATATTCTTTATAATCACCTTTTCTTAGTTAAATGAAAAACTGTAATTGTATAGCTTTTAGACCTTGGTCAGATCTGAAATCCAGTTGGTTTCTTCTGTACCTGTGTACCAGGCATCTTCCACCTGACAGGAGCGTGTCGGTGACTGTGTTGCACAAAAGCTGGTTTCATTGGCACGCTGAGCCTGCAGCCTTACGAGAAAGACAGATGTTAGTGACATAGTGACGTAGGTGGCTGAGCCACGTCTGGTACACTGGGAGCGGGCCACCCGGAGAGAACAGGGCCCCAGCCGGTAGCCAGCTAAGGGACCAGGGATGGCATCCCTCAGGAAGCGTGGAAGTGTCTTAAGATCACAGCATGCTCAGAGTTCTCTGCGCAGAGCGGAAGAACGATAACGCTCACAGAACCCAGCAAAGGCCAGCCTGCTGCCGGAGCACAGAGGCCTTCCCAGGGCAGAGCCGTCCGGGTTCACATTGACCGGCATTGCAAGTGGGAGTGGGGGTTGGATTGAAGGCAGCATCCCCAGATTTGTCTTCTGCAAGGATCATTCTGGAAGCATTAGAGAGTGGCGGAGAGGGGCCAGGAGTGTGTGAGGGGATTCGTGAGAAGCTGTCCCATGGTTAGGTGAGAGCTGATGTGGGGGTGGGGCGGGGTCTCTGAGGACCCGGCAGGAGGTGTGGAGCAAAGGAGGACTTAGGCTCCCAGCTTGGCACACAGGCAGGCCATGGTGCCCTCGCTGAGAATCAGGCCAGCCAGGAGGGCAGGTGCATGTCACGCCGCCACTGGCAGGCCTCTCTGATCATTTCTCTGTCTGCTTTTTTAAACAGGGTAACTTCTTTCAAAATATTGGCTCTATCACCTTGTTTGCTGTATTTGGTACTGCGATCTCTGCTTTTGTAGTAGGTGGTGGAATTTATTTTCTGGGCCAGGTAAGAAAAACACCTTTGAGAGACTTTGATGATCTCACATTCTGAGAGCTTGAGCGGGGAGTGAGGTGGGGCTCCCTCCTGGGCCTGGGTTTGCAGCTTCACCTGTCTTCCTCGAAGGGATCCTCAGCGCAGGAGGCACAGCAGGAGCATGGGAGAATGTTCCTAAGTGCCCTCCCCCAAGAATTATGGTGTCTGGAATTGAGTGAATCTTTTCCATAATCCCCAAAACTTTCCATTGTATATGCAGATCAATAGTGTCTTAAATTGAAATGCCTAAAAACATAGCAGATATACACTGTCATGGTTTTCAGATGGTAACAGTATCAGTTCTCTTATGGAGTTGACAGAATCAGATTTGAATGTTGTTTTTAAATAAAAATTTGCATTTTAAATCAAAGATGATTCTGAGTCTGTTCACTCAATTCTACGCCCTGCTCCTATACAAAATTATATACTTCGGGTCTTCCGCTGTGACAGACTGCTTCACAGTGGCATGCACCAGCTGAGTGTTCCGCACTCTGAGCTCCAAATTAAATTTGCATTAACCCAGCTCAGACGCACCTAGGAAGCAGTGCTTGCAGGTCTGCGCTGTGCGGTCCATGCATGTGCCGCTTTCTTGTCATTTGCAGAAAGTTTGCTGCCCCCGTTGCCAAGAGCCAGAGGCTCAGGACCCGGGCGGCCAGCAGATGCTCGCAGTGTTGGCGGTTTTGTCCTCTTGACAGCTGAAGCCCATTCCATGTGACTTCCCCCTGTTACTGCCTTGATGGCACCGGAACAAGTCTGTCTCTGTGCAAGTCTCTTCATTGCTCAGCTTCTCGTACCAAAGAGGAATAAACTTTAGAGAAGAAAGCTGCAGTGAATTGCGCTTGGAAAGTGTAGCAGTCTGTTCTCTGCTTTTGTCCTATGAGCGAATGCATGCTTAAACCGAAACTTAGGCATTTTATTTTTAAAGTGGTTTGGGGACTGAAGATTAATGTCCTTATTTGTTAGTAATAAGGCACTGATGGACATTTTAATCTTCTTGGCTGTTCTCCAGGGGTGTTTTTTTGTGTCTGTGTGTTTGTGTGTTTTATTTTACAGGCTGATGTAATCTCTAAACTCAACATGACAGACAGGTAAATCCTTCACTTTGCAACACCCATGCGACTGCTGTCCAGGCCGGGGAATTCCTCCGCATTGCTTCCTGGGCGTGGGGCTTCTTTCTTTACTCCCTCTCCCCTTGCTGATGATTTCCGCTGTAGAATCTATTCTGAATTAATTTTTATCTCTAAAATGAATCAAAATTGTATTGAGAGCTTTTGAAGATTCCTAGTCTAAGCATTGCTGATCAGAGTGTTTTAATTTAAGCTTTGGAGGGTATAGCTCTGACCAGTTCACTGGCCCACTGATATACACACATACAGTGCACCACTAGCCTTTTTTGGGAGGGCCGGGGGGGTACCGGGAATTGAACTCAGGACCTTGTGCTTGCCAGGTAGGCGCTGTACCGCTGAGCTATATCCCCAACCCTAGCCTTTTATTATTATTAAGAATTATCCTTGGCCCCTTCTGGAAATTTTTCCAGAAGAATTGAAAACATCATACCACAGTAATATATGTGCACCCATATTTATAGCAGTATAATTTGTAATAGCTAGATCTTGGAAACAACCCAAATGCCCATCAAGTGAGGAATGGATAAAAAAGATGTGGTATTTTTATACAATGGAGTATTACTCAGGTACAAAGATAAACTCGAGGCTTTTATAGGTAAATGGATGCAACTAGAGACCATATTCATAAGTGAAATAAATCAGACCTGCATGTATAAACATTGTACTGTTTCCCTAGTGTAAGAACCTGGAAGAGTAAGTAAAATCGGAAAGGTGCAATAGATACTATGACAGGGAAAGAAACTGTTCAAAAGGAAAACAACTGGGATGAGGGAAAGGGGAAAGAAAGAAAGAAGGAAGGGAGGGAAAAAAAAAAATATATATATATACATACACACACACACAAGATAGCTAAGATAATTGTGCTACTAATTCCTATTGGCTTCTTGAAAGGAACATTTAATGCTTAATTTTTAGATCAATTTTGCATGCCTGCATCTGGTAATCTGAATAACTACTTTGAAGATAACAACATGCAATACAACAACCAAAAAAGGGCTGGGGATTTAGCTCAGCGGCAAAAGCGCCTGCTTGGCATGCGCAAGGTCGTGAGTTCGGTTCCCGGTACCGGAGAAAAACCAAAACAAAACAAAACAAAAAAGAATATTTGACTAAACAACCAAAAAAAAGAATTATCCTTGGCCAGGGGTAGTAGTGCACACCTGTAATTCCAGCACTCTAGAGGCTGAGGCAGGAGGATTGCCACAAGTTTGAGGCCAACCTGGACTACGTAGTTTATTCAGTGCCAGCCTAAATTATATAGTGAGATCCTCTCTCAAAAAAATAAATAAAAAATATATAGTGAGACCCTCTCTAAAAAAAAAAAAAAAAAAAAAACCAGCTTCAGCTAATTTCCAAGCTTTTTCCTGTCGCTGTAATGAAAGAGTGTCTTCCTGATAGATTACAGCTGGAGGTGAGAATGCGGTGGGACTCTTCACTCTCAGTTTCCAGGCAGGGCTGGAGTGGGGCTGGGGAGGGAGAAGCAGGCAGTGCAAGGGCCCTGGGCCCTGTGTTGAAGTCCTCTCGGTCCAAAGCTGTGCTGGTGCACACTGGGCAGAGAGTGCTGTCTGGGAGCCTATCCAGGAATTGTGCTTTCTTTTTGTAGTATGGGGATCAAGCCCAAGGGCACTGTACCACTGAGCTATATCCCTTTGTTTTGTTTCATTTTATTTGTTTGGTTTAGGTACCAGGAATGAACTCAGGACCTTGTACTTGCCAGGCAGGCACTTGTGCCACTGAAGTATATTCCCAGCCCATGTCTTTTTGTTGGTTTGTTTTTTGAGACAGGATCTTGCTCTGTAGTCAAGGCTGGCCTCGAACTCACTGCAATCCTCCTGCCCCAGCCTCCCAGGTGTTGAGTTTATAGGCGAGTGCTGGGGTTACAGGTGTGTGCCACCATGCCCACTGTTGTATTTTATTGAGATAGGGTCTTGCTAAATTGCCCAGGCTGGCATCTTGTGATTCTCCTACCTTGGCCTTCCAAGTAGCTGGGATTATAGATGCGTGTGCCGTCACACCTGGCTTGGGAATTTTCTTAATCTATTTAGTAAGAAGCAAGGGGGCATGGTGGACTGGCTTGTAATCCCAGTTACTTTGGCTTTCTTTTTTTTTTGAGACAGAGTCTTGCTATGTAGCCCAGGCTGGCCTCGAACTCATCGTGATCCTCCTATCTCAGCCTCTCAAGTGCTGGGATTACAGGTGGGTGTCACCATGCCAGGTCAGTCTGTTACTTTGGAAGCAGAAGGGTCACGAGTTTGAGGCCAGCATAGGCTACGTAACGAAACCTGTAAACCTCCCCAAAAAGAAGGCAGCCGAGGTGGCTGTCTCAGAAAGTACCGGATCTAGAGCTGAACAAGCGCCCAGGCCGAGTGCAGCCCCCACCAAGTCCCAACTGCACGCAGCCTCTCTGTCACTTGCAGCATGTTTGGGGGTGGTGGGTGGGGCCAGGTATATAGACCCAGGCCCCTCCCGGGGGCAGTCAGGGCTCACGGTCTAGCATCAACCTAGCTCCTTGGAACTAAAATCTTCAAACCCTTTTCTCAGAAATATGTTTCTGATAATAGTCTCATTCCATTCTCATCCTCCCTCAGCCCTGCCCAGGACTTAGTTTGGAACTCTTGTAGGAAAAAAGTTTTTAGATGTAAGCAAATAGCCAGAGTCTTATTCCTGTCCCATAGAAACTAGAAATAAAGCACAACTGATGCCCTGTGTTTCTTAGATATTTTGCAAGTTAAAAAAAAAGCCTTGAACCCCATTGACATGAAGGAAGGTGTCACAGCGCTCAGACTTTTGCCCTGTTTGGGGTGGGCCGGCCAGCCAGAGACGCAGGTGGTGCTGGACACCTGCTCGTGAGATTGAACTGAAGCAGTGGTTGGGGTGTTGGGGAGTTGGGGTGGAGGGGAGTGAAGACTCCTGTGGACAAGCTGGGTGCAGGCCAGGTAGCAGGCAGGGGCTCCCTTGCTGCTAGAAAGAGACTGTTCCCTCACAGAGGGACCTGCCGATGTGGTGGAGGCAGGCCAGTGGCCATAGGGGAACACGTGCCCGGAGGGGACAGCGCTCCTCAGCCCTTCCTTGCAGTGTGTTTCAAAGATTGTGACGTGTGATGCTGGGGGTGGAGCCCAGCGCCTCATGCAGACCTCTCCTGTGAGCTACCCTGAGTCCCGTTACACAAGTTTTTTAAAAGCCCAGTTTTCTGGATGTTGCCAGGAAGTCTGTTCCCATTTTTAAAAGTGAACGACTTACACCACTTGTCAGAAACACCACACAGGCTAAAGACGAGGCCCACGAGGCCCACAGAGCCCTTGCTGCAGCCTCTGCACTGTGGAAAACACAAACACGGCCTCGTGGCACAGTTTTGGTTTGGTGATCTTTCTGCTGGAGACAGATTTCCCATGAACCCCTGGTTTATTTCACTGGCGTGGTCTGTCCCTTCTCATGTTGTTGATGTTGCTAAGTTTTGAGGGGACAGAATAAAGAAAGCATGCTTTAAATTTGCACTTGTCCTAGCGCACGCCTGTGATCCTAGCACTTTGAGACTGAGGTAGGAGGATTGTTGCAAGTTCAAGGCCAGCCTGGGCTGCAAAGTGAGCTCAAGGCCAGCCTGAACTGCATGGTGAGACCCCGTCTCAGAAAGACAAAAATAATAATAATAACTTGCACCTGTCACTCCTGCCCTTGGTGGCGGAGGCTTGACGTGGAAGCACTGCGACCATGCTGAGTGGCCCTGAGCCCCAGGCCGTTTGGAAACGCAGGCTTCATGTTTCTGCTTTGTCAGTTTCCTCTCACAACCGCTTTACGCAGGTTAGGTGCCCAGCCAGAGCGAAATGTGTTGCGTGCTTTATGCAAAGCATTTCCCCAGCCTTTGTTATGGAAAGTCTGGAGGCAGAAAAGTGAGGCCGCACAGGGAGCGCCCACCCAGCCACTGCCTGGACGGGTTGCCGTGTTCGCTTTGGTGCCCGCTTTCCCTCTGTCCACTCCTCAGTTCTCTGTGGCTCCCACAGTGACGCTGACGCAGTGCATCAGCCGGGCCACGGTAGTGCCGCTCAGACCTGACACAGATGAACTTAGGGATAGAAAGCAACTTCACTGGCTTGTAGGACTGAAGGGTCCCCAGGGAGATGGCTTCTGGTGTGACACCCTCAAGGGCCTGGCACACTGTCCCCCCCGTGGCAGCGCTGCTGGCCAGGCTCACGGCATCCCTTGGCCACTCCTCCTAAGAGGCCAGCCTGTTCCTCAGGGCCTGGTAAAACGCAGGGGCTGCCCTAGTGCCCAGGCCTCGGCCCCATGCCAGGACCCAGAGCCCCACGTGACCCCAAGGAAAGGGAGTGGCAGGATGGCTCCCCAAAGGAAGGCGGGGGTGTGCTCACCCAGACGGGGTGTGGGTGCTGAACACGGGGAGCATGGGCTCTCCGCCCTGCTGCATGTGCTCCTTGGGAACAGAGGGAGAGGCCCGCTGAGCCGCACTCAGTCAGCTCCACGTGGCCCGCCGTGGCCTCTGCCTCCTTCAAGGCAGGCGTTTCGCTGGCCTCCTCCCCTCACGCCTTACGGTGTTGCTGTGAGCCAGGGGCTGAGAATAAAGAGGAGGCCACGCTGTGCTGCATTGGGAGGAGCCGCCTCTCCTCTGTGTCTCCTTCCTGCCCTCCCTCTTCCCCTCCGCAAGCGTCTGGGCTGTGCTCAGCACCGGTGCTGGGACACGCCTGTGATGAGCGCACGGGCTGGAGGTCGCCCCTGTGAGTATGGCCAGGTGTGGGGACGAGGTCTGAGCAGAGGCCGCCGTGTGGGCCTGGCCCTCTGGGATGCAGAGGCCCTCCTGGATGAATCTTGACGCGTCAGTCTCAGGCAGCTGGCATGGACACCCCAGGCAGTGCGTCAAGGGATGTGTCATCGGCAAGGCAGCTGGGCGTTTCCTCCCGTCGGCACCCCTCTGCCAGGGTTGCTGGGGCGGAGGCACCAAACTCCCTGCCCCACGCCCAGTGTCACTGCCCTGGCAGACTGCACGCTTGGTGACAGTCTCTGGCTGGTGACCACAGTGTAGCGCTGCGCCCTCAGGCTGCACGTTTTGTCCCACATGGAGGAAGGGGACAGGCCTAGCCCTTCTGCTCAGCCAGTAAGGGCCCTCAGAGCCGCTGAGGACAAGAAGGCCTGCAGGTACACTGAGGGAGTCAGCAAGCACCAGGGAAGAAATCATCCAGACCCTCCCTGTGGCCCGTGAGGTGTCACGGGGGACCTGGGCCTGTCTCCTCTGCCGGGCCCCTCTTTCGGGTGTCACCATTTACTTCCCGAGACACACTGGCCATTCTCTAAATCTGGCTTAGTTTCTGTGTTGTTGCCCCCACCCTAGTGAGCGACTGGGCCGCATTTGAGCTGGCTCTGCACTGTTCGGCCTCCTGTCCGTCCGCCCTCTGTCAGCAGCAGGGCGGGCTCGGTGTCTGCCGTGTGGAGGGCTGAGGCCCTGAAAGAGGCTAGGGCAGGGCCTAGGATGCGGCGAGCACCGCAGAAGCGCTTGCTGTTGGGATGAAGCAGAGGAGGCGGTTGGTGAACATTTGTTGGAGGTGACGGCATCGTGCTGGGCACTGTCTGCGAGACCTGAAGCCAGCGCGATGTCCGCCACCCAGACTGCATCTGGAGTTGTGGTGGCTGTTACCACTTTGGTTTTTTTGTTGTTATTGTTGTTATTGTTGTTTTTTGGTACCAGGAATTGAACTCCTGACCTCAGACTTGCCAGGCAAGCGCTTATGCCACTGAGCTATATCCCTGGCCCTGCCACTTTCTTAGATGTTACAAATCAGAGTGGAGGCTGGTGCTGGTCCCGATGGCATTCAGACAGCCTGGTGGCGTGGGGCAGAGCAGAGGTCAGACCCAGCAGCTCACGGGCTACTGGCCTCTGGCTGCTCTGACTAGCAGGGCTGGGCAGTGTGCCACACATTGAAGCAGAAGCCTCACGCATCGCTGGGTGGGACCAAGCCAGGTGGAATCTGGCCACTTCTAGCCCTTCTTCCAGGGTTGCCTGTCCTGCCCCACGCGCAGGGTCCATCGGCAGATGCGTGCGGCAGACGCCTGTCTCCTGTCGCGCTTGTGCCCTTGTGTTGTGTGCACTGCGGTTGTTGGCTGATGCTGTGGCGTGTGGACCGAGTGATGTGCCTCACAGAGCCTGCCCTTCCTTCTCTCTCCTAGCTTTGCCTTTGGCTCCCTGATATCTGCTGTCGACCCGGTGGCCACTATCGCTATCTTCAACGCACTGCACGTGGACCCCGTGCTCAACATGCTGGTCTTCGGAGAAAGTATTCTCAACGACGCCGTCTCCATTGTTCTAACCAAGTAAGTGTGTGCGGCATGGCAGGATGCCGTTCCACACAGCTTCCCATCCAGCGGCCTGTGCCCTGGGCGATCGGCTCACCTGCTGCCTTTCTCCATCTCCAACAGCCCTGACAAGCCATCCTGCACCGCAGGTACACGTCAGGGTCCAGGTGGTTAGGAGAGCAGAGCCCACCGTTCTAACCTCCCTCTTGGTGTGGCTTCTGAGTCCAGCCTCCCATCAGCATCACAGAGAGAGCTAATAGATGTGACCTTTGCGGGCCACGCCCTCCTGGCCTCTCATTCAGCTGGCCTGGGTTGTCGCAGACCTTCCATCTTAGGGCGTCACCCAGGTGGTGATAACAGCCAGTCCGGGATCAGCAGTGGGCAGCGTTGTTGGAGACGGAAGCAAGAAGCATGGGAGTGGGGCGTAGCTCGGTGCTAAAGTGCTTGCCGTGCATGTGCAAGGCCCTAGGCTCCATCCACCGTGCAAACAAAAAAGCAACAGAGCCTACTCTCCCACCCCCTCGCTCTGGCATGGTGTCTTCACCTTCACAGCTGTACACTAGGTGTCTTGCTGCAAGATGCGGTTGTGTAAAAGCCACTTGGGTGTATGTGCTGCCGAAGCAAGCACGTTAAAGCCGCTTTGGAAATGGCAGGTCTTGTTCAGATGTTCCCTGGCATTACTGCCTTATCTGTTGGGGTCTGAGAAATTAAAGCCAAATGTCAGAATTCTCTTTTTTTTTTTTTTTTTTGGTGGATTTTTTTTTTTTCCGGTACCAGGAATTGAACTCACGACCTTGCACTTGCCAGGCAGGTGCTGTGCCGCTGAGCTAAATCCCCAGCTCCCTAATTTTTTTTTTTTCTGGTACCTGGAATGGAACTCATAACCTTGCACTTCCCAGGCAGGTGCTGTGCTGCTGAGCTATATCCCCAGCCCTATCGGTATTCTTATGTTGGAATAAAATGGTGTTCTGTAGTGGAATGAGCCAAGGGGTTTGGTTTGGTTTGGTTTGGTTTGGTTTGGTTTGGTTTTTTTTTTTGTCTTTTTGAGACAGGGTCTCTCTGTGCAGTTCAGGCTGCCTTGAGCTCACTTTGTAGCCCAGGCTGGTCTCAAACTCACCGTGATCCTCATGCCTCAGCCTCCCAAGTGCTGGGATTACAGGCGTGCGCCCCCACACCTGGCTTGTTTTGTTTTTGTTGGTACTAGGGCACAGAGCTAGGGCCTTACACATGCTAGGGAGCTGCTTTCCCACTGAGCTACATCCCTAGGCCAAGCCTGGGTTTTGAAGTCAGGACCCCGGATTCAGGTCCTATTGGTTCCAACTGGCTATGTGTTTCTGGACCAGTCCCTCTGGGAGCTCCTGGTTCCTCAGCTATAAAGTGAGGCTAAGAAGGCCTCAGCCTAGGACTGAAGAATTGGTGGTTAAATGTGACACTATGTGAAATATGCAACCCTGTCTTTCCCCAGCCCTGCCTCCAGTAATTTCTGCCATTTTGGCCTAGTTTTCCTACCTTTGCAGGCAGAGCTTACCGAGTATTGCTTAATTGCAAAAGGTACTCACTAGTCTTTTTTTTTTTTTTTTTTAGTTTTTTAAAAAGAAACTGAATTTTAGAGTATTTTGTTCTTTTAAAGGTAATAATGTGGGGCTGGGCATATAGCTCAGTGCCATAAGCACCTGCCTGGCAAGCACAAGGTTCTGAGTTTGATTCCCCAGTACCCAAAAAAACAAAACAATACAAAACAAAACTAAGGGTAATAATGTGTATGCTTCACACAAAATTTAGAAAACCACAAACAAAAAAGAAAAAAAAAAGCTATATACATCCTTACTACATAGGGATAATTATGGTTAACAACTTGAGGTAAATATACATATATTTTACTTAAATGAGCTTATATCTCAAATAATAAAAATTTCCCATTGAACAGAGTTAATAAAATAATCCTCAGCTGGGCTTGGTGGCATATACCTGTTATCCTAACACTTGGGAGGCTGAGGCAGAAGGATTCTAAGGCTAGTCTGGGCTACATAGAGAATTTGAAGCCATCCTGAGCTACATAGTGAGACCTTACCTTAAAAACCAAAACAAAACAAAATAAATAATCTTTTATAACATTATCTTACTGGCCATAGAGTGTTGCTTTCTTTAGATTTACTATGATGTGACACATTCTCTCACTGGCTTTTCCACATTTGTCTTGGCACAGATTTCTGTAGCTTTGTTAGGAAATTACCATACATCATGCTGTAAGACCTTTAAAAAATCAGATGGCAATATTTTTTCTTACCTACGATCTGTTCTGAAAGCTGCTTAGTTCTCCGGTTTTTACTTTTATTTCATACCCTGGTATGTATATGGAACATTTGTGCTAAGGAATTTTGCCCAACTTGGAGGTGGCATCCTGAGTTATTTTTATACATTAAGAGCTAAACTCAACCGCTTTGTCTCTGATTTATTTAAAGAAAAAATCTGTCAGAGGTAGGGCCTTTTGTGAACTTCCCCAGGTCTTGCTGATGCAAAAAGGCCAAAGAACAGGGGGTATTTGAAAAAATGAGAAATGATGGCATCGTTGTGTGGAGACAAAGGTTCTTGAGGCCAAGACCACCTGTACTGACTGTTCCCGCAGCTGGCTTTGTGGACAGCATGCACCTGGCATTCCCACCACCTCCTCCCCGCTCTGCCGGGCCCTGGGGAGGTACAGACTGGCTCAGAGGTCGCCTCACTCACTGGCTGCAGTGTGCGAGCAGCTGCTCGGTTGTCTCTGTCTCGGACAGGGCCCTCTGTCAGCTGCTGCGCAAAGACCAGGGGGACTCAGGAACTTGGTCCACGGTAGGTGAGAGCTGCTTGTAGGGAAGTAAACAAGAGGCACCGGTGACTGCAGGATTCCAGGAAGGCTTTTCAGTGCAGCTGTCTGTGCACCAGGCCTGGGCGAGCAGGGCACGCATTCCGACAGAAGCCGGGGGACAGGTGTGGCAGACCTGGCCTCTTTTCTGTTGGTACCACCAGAACTCCGGCGGCTGTGAGCTGTTGTCTTCGTTCCTTGGCTAGGGGTGGAGTCACATGTCATAGTTAAGAGGAATATTGTTTCCAAAGTGATCTGACACTTTCATCTTTGCAACTCAGAAACAGAACAAATAACCACATTTTAAGTGCTGTTTCCTTCCTAAGTACTACCAGAAAGGAAAGTATTGTCTGTTCCTTTATTCATTTTAAATCATTTTGAGTTTCAGTCTGTTATAGTGACAATTTATTCCCATACCAATTGCAGTAGAGGAAACTTTACATTTTCTCCTGCGGCTACTTGAGAGTGCAGAATGGATCCTGAAGCAGCATTGTCCTGTGCACCTTAAGACAGGAGATGCTTAACTGTAAGAAGTAACGTGTAGAAAAGAAAAAAATAACAAAACAAAACAAAAAAGAGAAAATTTAAAAAAGAAAAGAGTAGCCAGGCATGGTGGCACACACGTGTAATCCCAGCACTCAGGAGGCTGAGACAGGAGGATCATCATAAGTTGGAGACCAGCCTAGGCTACAAAGTGAGCTCAAGGCCAGCCTGAGCTGCATAGCAAGACCCTGTCTCAAAAAGACAAGAAAGAAAAAAGAAAAGAAACAAAGGATTGCCAGATCAGGAAGAGCCCAAATGTGCTTTCTTGACCTGGAGTTCCGAACCCATTGGCCTTCCTGGACCTGCTGTTAAGATGAGTTAGTCTCTTTGGGCTCTGGCTCCCTCAGTATAAAAAGAAAACAGCAAAAGCACCCTGTGTTTAGCTGGTAGTGGCGAGAGCAGCAGCTGCACGCCACACACGTGTGGTCTGCTGTTCCCTGGGGCAGCCTGTAGGTGACAGTGGCCTTCCAGAGTCCTTCTCCAAGGAGAGCCGTGTAGACTCCCATAGTCCCCAGGATGAGCTGTTAACCTGTGATCCACAGAGAAACAAAGGACCAGGGGGAGATGGTGTGTTCAGGAGAGGCTAGAAAACTTGTGTGAGGAAAGGCAGATTTCTTTCTCGTAAGACTTCTGAGAACCTATGTTATGTTATTCTTAGCTATGCCTCTCCAGAAAAGGCTTCCTCAGGTCTTTGCCCAAGCTTCCCTTTTGTCAGAGAGTCTTTTTTTTTTGTCTTTTTGAGACAGGGTTTTGCTATGCAATTCAGGCTGCCCTTCAACTAACTTTTATAGCCTGGGCTGGGAACTCCGTCACGCCCAGCCTGTCAGAGATAATTCTGCTTGAAAATGAAACGAGGAAAGCTGGGCACAGTGGCACACACTTGTGGTCCCAGCACTCAGAAGACCGAGGCAGGAGGATGGCCATGATTTGATGCCAGGCTGGGCTGCATAGTTGATTCAGTGCCACCCTTCCGTGCCAGACTGCGTAATGAGATCCTGTCTCACAAAAGAAACAAAGAGCAGAAATGAAATGATGAAGCTGAGTACTGCTGTTAACAGTTCTTGGTTTTATTGGCGGCCTCAGTGAAAACACGAGTGTCTGAAGTGTGCCGGGCCATGCCGTAGATCCCAGCCGGATGGACAGAGGCTCCGGCCTCGTCGAATGACTTGCTGCGGCTTTTACCTGTGGCGGAGAAGGCCGCCTGTGAGGACCTGCACATGGGCTGCCTGCATGAGGGTGTGGGCTGGATGTCCTGAGGGAGTGTCACTGACCCTTGCTCTTGGTCAAGGGACGGATGAGAGAGCTAGCTGGGCCCTGGGTTGACCCACAGGGAGATGGCAGTGACAGTGGGTCCACCCTGAGTAGGGAGGGCATGAGGTCGGGGAGGTGAGGGAGCCCCGTCCTGCTCAGCCTGGGCTTCCTCCTGGGCCATCACACACTATCCAGGAGTGTGGAGCAGGCCGGGAACTGGCCGGGTGAGCATTGTAAAGGGGTCGCTCGGCTGCTGAATGCAGACCTGGTGCAGCAGCAGGACAAGTGACCACTGTGAGGTCGGCAGGCACTGCCCGGGTAGGGGAGAGAGGCGGGGGAGGGAGAGAGGCAGACACAGCTGAGAGCTGAGGACCGGATGCGGGGTGCAGCTGATGCAAGGACAGGAGAGAACGGAGCTGAGAGTCTGGAGGACTGAGTAGGAGGAGGAGATTTCCAGCAGATAGCTTCGTGTGTGCGTGGCATGATGCTTTTCACAGGGGCTAAAGTAGGCAATTGTGTTTCATGGCTTCAGACATGTTGGTCGTTCCGTTACACTGAAAGTTCCCTATGTTCTCCTTCCTTTTTTTGGTTCTCCTTCCTTAATGCCCCCAAAGCCTCCCTCTTAACCAAAAGCCCCTGGTGCTGCTTCCCTTGGACTTGCAGCCAGGGCTTCAGTGCCAGCCTTACCCTGGGCTCCCTGTACTGAAAGCACTTCCCACTGGCTCCTGGCCTTCAGGGTGAAACGCGGTGCCATCCCAGGCCCAGCCGCCATCCTACCATCCTGCTCCGTGTTTCAGCCACACGAACCCGTGCGCGCGCCCATGACGTGCACCATGTGCTTGGGCTCCCTGTCTCCCCAGTTGTGCATGTGTGCTTTCCCGGGTGTGGGGTGCCTTCCCTCCCGCGTTCCCTCAGGACTGCGCCCCGTCTGAGGTGGACCATCTGTGTGTCTGCAGCCCTTCGCCCTTCCCCCAGACCGGCATTCGCTCTCGTCCTCCTTTTCTCCCCTTAGTCTCAGGGGAGCACCTTGACGACACCTACTTTGCTCTCGTCTCTGAGCCCCAGGAACTAACATAATACCTGGGGCAAAGTAAGTGAGTGAATAAACATTTGACTAACTGAATGATAGAGTGAACGAAAGAGTGAATAAACATGAAATAAGCGTTTCCTAAATTAATGCCTGAGAACTTTGTCTATAACATTTTAACTTTTTTCTGTTTTCCATTTCCTAGCACAGCTGAAGGTTTAACAAGAAAAAATATGTCAGATGTCAGTGGGTGGCAGACATTTTTACAAGCCCTTGGCTACTTCCTCAAAATGTTCTTTGGCTCTGCAGCGCTCGGCACTCTGACTGGCTTGATTTCTGCATTAATATCCTTTTAATGTGATGAAGCGGAGGAGATGCCCCTTGATTACATCCTTCCCCAGCTACTTTTTCCTGTCCCTTAGGGGGCCGATTTTAACCTAAGGTTTGCTTTAAAGGAAGATTTTTATGCTGAGTTGTGGTTTGAGAAACACTCTATAAATTAAACTTAGGGATTTTAAAATTGAGCTTAGGAAATGTAGCATGTCACTTTTCAAAGCTTAAAAGGCACCTGTCCTGCTGAATGTGAAGTGTGACTTGGAGGGCTTCTCAACTACCAGAGGGCAACCACCATATGCATGTGACTTTTCCACTGTCTGTTTGCATAGTAAGAAAACTAGAAATAAATTTTTCTTTGAAAATAAATTGGAGGGGCCAGGCGTGGTGGCCCACACCTGTAATCCCAGCACTTGGGAGGCCGATGCAGGAGGATCGCTGCAAGTTCAAGGCCAGCCTGGGCTACAAAGTGAGCTCAAGGCCAGCCTGAACTGCATAGTAAAACCCTGTATCAAAAAGACAAAAAAAAAAAAAAAAAAAAAAAAAAAAAAAAAAAAAAAAAAAGAAAGAAAGAAAGAAAGAAAGAGAAATTGAACAAAATCTTTACCCCACTGAAAACAACTATCTGGAAGGATTGGAAAAGGGGCTTCCAGAGTGAGCTCCACCAAAGTTACTTGCAGATTTTATTGCTTAACAACCCTTGAGCTTTTCCAGCCACAGAAGGAAAGGCTTATTAAGGCAATGACACCTTTACTGCCACTGAAAATTCATCGTGTTTCAGCGCCTGCCTGGCAAGTGTGAGGTCCTGAGTTTGATTCCTAGTACGAAAACAAAGGGAAAACCGTGTTTAAAATAGGAGCAAAAAAATAAAATAAAATAGGAGCAGGCACCAGACCACTTCTTCGTGTGCCTGAGCTGCATCCCTGGGAGGAGGCCGCTTGGCCCTCCTCCCCGAGCAGTTTGTCTCACAGATGGCTGGAAAAGACTTGCCTGGCTACAGGCGTGTTTTTCTCCCATTCTGTTGAGTTTCCCCATCAGCTCTTTTGTCCAGAAGTTAAAAGCTCTATTGAGTTGGCTGACAGCTCCTCATATTGTACCAATAGACAGAATGGAAAAGAACAGAAAACTTTTTGCAGTTCAGTATTTTCCTCTGTATTTATCTTTCTCAGAAAGTCTGTATTATCTCAAAGCCAAGTAAATGGGGACTCAGAGCTCTAGTATGGGCTTTGTGAGCAGTGTCTGAGTGTAACAGACTCTGCACCCACAGGCCTGTGTGTGGGAATGGCCAGTCACTGTAGAAGACCTCAGCAGTCTCTCGGTGTACCCTGGGAGGCGGGGCGGTGGTAGGTATGAGGAAAATAAAAACAAGAGACAAGAGCTGGGGTCAGACAAAGTTGCTTCTTATCTGATGCGCAAGAAGACTGAACAACAATAGTAGGGGCACTTATTTATACCCTTTCAAAGTTAGTGTCATGAGAGGCAGTGTTGCCTAGCAACTGAGGACTGAAATTGTCCAGGAGGGATGTTTTTCTCAAGACTGAGGTGGCTTCACTGCTTGAGGCACTCTGGCTCTGTCCTGCCTCCACACATATGGCTAATTTCCAGCTCCAGCCGTTCCCAACAAGTCACAGGGGTGACAGTTCTTCAGTAGGACATTGGGTCCCTGCAAGGCAAGATGGTAGCTGACCTGGGTGATCTCTTCTGGTGTCCTGGAAGGTGGTGGCAGTTTGAGTCATCCTTAGGGTGTCTGCAGTCCTGGCATTGCCAGCACATTCCCAGTCTTCTGCACCAGCTCTTGTTTTCCCTTCAGTACTAGGGATGGACTCCAGGGTGTGCTAGGCAAGTGCTGTACTACTGACCTCACCCATAACCCGTAGTCAGCAATTTTTTTTAATTTATTTATTCTTTTTGTCTTTTTGAGACAGGGTCTCCTATGCAGTTCAGGCTGGCCTTGAGCTCACTTTGTAGCCCAGGTTGGTTGCAAACTCTCAGCGATCCTCCTGCCTCAGTCTCCCAAGTGCTGGGATTACAGGCGTGCACCACCATGCCTGGCTGGTTTTTTTTTTTTTTTTTTTTGGTACGGGGAATCAAACTAATGACCTCGTGTTTGTTAGGCAGGCGTGCTGCTGAGCTATATCCCCAGCCCAGCATTTTTAAAGGACTTGACTTAGGCTGATTTTAATTTCCCCCCACCATTTGTCTCAGGAATCCTTTAGCATTTTGTTAGATTCTTTATAACAGCAGTCTCTTTACAAACAAAAAAACTCCCTAATAGTAAATTTTCAGTTGTAACCTTGGAATGTTCAAAATCTTTTGTATTTGTTTGTATATTTGAAAGGCAGCCAGGCATGGTGGCTCATGCCTGTAATCCCAGCACTTGGGAGGCTGAGACAGGAGGATTGTTCCGAGTGCAAGACCAGCCTGGGTTACAAAGTGAGCTCAAGGCCAACCTGAACTGCATAGAGAGACCCTGTCTCAAGAAGACCAAAAAAAAGGGGAGGGGGAGAAAAGCAGCAATTTCATGACATCTCTGCATCTCCCATCGAGTGCCCCAGATCGTTTTCCTTGACACTTGCCGTTTACGTGTTAAAGCACATTGACTTGAGGAAGACGCCCTCCTTGGAGTTTGGCATGATGATCATTTTTGCCTATCTGCCATATGGGCTCGCAGAAGGCATCTCACTGTCAGGTGAGTGATGGAGGTCTGGATGTGCTGTGACAGTGGCTCGTTCTGCCTGGTGAAAGAGCTTTTGTCAGTTAGGTCACTTTGAGTCGTGAGAGACAGAGGCCCATCTCAGAAGGACTTAGATTAGAAGAGGGATTTGTTGGTTCCCAAGGGATAATACTGTGAATTCCGACCTGGCTGGATCTAGGGTCCCAAATAGTCACACTGGTGTCACAGTCACAGTTCTTCTTTCTGTCACTGGTCCTCACCCGTCAGTGAGGCTGCTTCATAAATAGGTAGGCTGTGGGAAGGAAGTACTCTAGAGATTTCTGTTTTACTGATGAGAAAATCTGAGGCTGATAGAGATGACGTTGGCCCAGGGCCTAGCAGGAGTTGGTGGAACAGCTACTCATAGGTGGTGGTTCTGACTCAAAAACTGATGTGTAGGCTGGCCATGGCAGCACATGACTACAATCCCAGCCCTCAGGAGGCTGAGGCAGGAGGATAGAATTTGAGGCAAGCCTGGGCTACACAGAAAATTCAAGGCTGGCCTGGACTACATAGCCAGCAGGCTTATCTCAGGAAAACCAAAAACAGAAAAAAAAAAATCTGACACTTAAAGCTAGTCAAGAGGCTGAGGTAGGAGAGTTACAAGTTCAAAGCCAGCTTGGGCAACTTAGTGAGACTCCATCTCAAAAAAACCAAAAAGAATAAACGCTCATTATGCTCCTCCCAGACAGATCATCATGAAACCACATAGATGGGCTAGTTGCGGGGGACAGGTAATGTGTGACCACAGTGTAACGATATCTTGGTGGGATGTATCGGACACAGTCAATCTGTGTTAACTTTTTGTTTTGTTCTACCTTGTTTTTTGAGGCAGAGCAGTATGTGCTGCTGTTTGCATTCAGTTTCTGAACACTCCCACCACCCCATGGAGTAGGCCGGGAGGGGCTAAGGCGAGTCATTAGCTCAAGGCTGCACAGATAGTGAGTGGTGGCCGTGAGATTCACGCGAAGACAGTCTCAAGCCCACACCTTCCTGCATCCCAAGGGAGGAGGCTGTGCACTTCCCTCAGCCAGGGGCCCAGCTTGCGGCTCCAGGAGCGGCACGCACTAGACATCCTGGAGCCCTCCCCTCCTGGGGTCTATCAGCAGCCCCTGCCCACAAGGCTTTGCAGATAGTCTCCTGCCCCAAGTGGGGTTGAGCCCATGTCCACAGTTAGTCAGATTACAAGGCACATGCCTGTAATCCCAGCACTCGAGAGGCTGAGGCAGGAAAATCCTTGCAAGTTCAAGACCAGCCTGGGCTACAAAGTGAGCTCAAGGCCAGCCTGAACTGCATAGCGAGACCCTGTCTCAAAAAAAGACAAAAAAAAAAAAAAAAAAAAAAAGCAAAACATTATAAGGCACTGATCCAGAAATGGGTAGCTGGAGTGTGGCTCCTGCTGTGTGTGTGTGTGTCTGTCTGTCTGTCTGTCCTTCCCTGAGCAGAAGGAACTCTGCCCAAGACACCCTGATCCATCTTTGAGGGAAGGCCCTGCTCAGGCCGCGTTCTGGAAGGGAGCACCATTGCAGCAGCTGCTTCGATCTGGTCTTTCTCATTCTTTATTTTCATCTTTGTTGAGATATAATTTGCCTATAGTAAACAACATGCATTCTAAGTATACAGTTCAGGTTGTGACAGATATGTGCAGCCGTGTAGCCACCATGGTCAAGATATGAAACGTAACCTCACCCCACGTGGCTCCCCTTGTCCCCTTGCCTGTACCCGAACCCTTGTGGCCGATACCCTGCATTCTGTCACTGGTATCTCTGGAGTATGTAGTCTTTGTTTTAGTATGTAGTCTTTAGTGTCTCGTTCTTTCAATTACGCTTTTGAGAAACATTTGTTTCTGCACATACCATAGTTTATACATTCCTTCTGCAGTCTCCCTATCCCTCTGAAGGACCTTTGGACTGAGGACATTCCTGAGTTTTCATTTATCTTGGGTAAATCCCTCACCTTTAGGTGGCTAGGTCATTTGCTAAATACATACTTCATTAGGAACTGCCAAGTGTGTTTCAAACTGACTACATCATTTTTCTGTTTCACCAGAATGTGAGAGCAATCTAGTTGCTTTGCAGCACTTATTTTATTTATTTATTTATTTTTCTTTTTGAGACAGGGTTTCACCATGCAGTTTAGGCTGGCCTTGAGCTCACTTCGTAGCCCAGGCTGGCCTCGAACTCCCAATGATCCTCCTGCCTCAGCCTCCCGAGTGCTGGGATTACAGGTGTGCGCCACCACACCTGACTCAGCACTTGTTTTAATTTTTAAAAAGTCTAGCCATCCTGATAGGTGTGTAGCAGTTCTATTTAAGTGTACTTTGGTATATTCTGCTTGGAAGCCCATTGAGCTTTTTGTTTTTATATTTATATGAGTATATAGCTTACATCAAATTTGGTAAATTTATTTATTTATTTATTTTTGTCTTTTTGAGACAGGGTCTCACTGTGCAGTTCAGGCTGGCCTTGAGCTCACTTTGTAACCCAGGCTGGTCTCGAACTTGAACGATCCTCCTGCCTCAGCCTCCCAAGTGCTGGGATTACAGGCGTGCGCCACCATGCCAGGCCCAAATTTGGTAAATTTTACCCACTTATTTAAACAGGTTTTTTTGGTTCTCTATCAGCTTCCCTGTTGGTCCCCAGTTCCCATAGAGAGTGTGCTTCTGGCCCATAGGTGTTTTATTTTCATCGTTTTCTGTATGCCTTATTTTCATTAGCTTCTACATATGTCTTCAAGTCCACTCTTCTGCCGTGTGGAATCTCCCGTACTTCTCACTTCAGGTCCTGTGTTCCATCATCTGCAGGTGTTGCCTTTGTTTCTCTCTTCCTCTCCTTGTTTTACCTGTATGCCTGAGCGTGTGAATCATGGTTAGAAGAGCTCTTCTAAGATCCTTGCTGCTGGTGTCCTGACCTCTGTCCAGGCCAGGTCCTGCTTCGGGGTCATGTTTTCCTGCTGTTTGCTTGCTGTTCATTTTTGATTGGATGCCAGTCGCTGGGCACTTTCTGTGTTCCTTTATTGCTCTGGGCTTTTCGCCCAGCACATACCTAGCCTTGGAATCCATTTATTCCTCTTGGCGTAGACTTCTGCACTTTGCTAGGGCGGGACCCCACTAGGCTGCTGACCAGGGAAGCGCCCTACCCAGGTGCTATGGGGTCACTGCCTCGGGCTCAGGGCCGCCCCACGTCAGCTTCGGGAATGGCTGAGCCTGCCTCTCAGCGGTTCTTTCCCCAGCCGCTTGGAATCTCCTCACAGGCACCGATCACAATGTGCCTGAGGTCTCAGGGGACGTCATGGCGGATCCAGAGCTCTTTGCACAGCCACGCGTGCTGCTTCCCTCTTGGTTTCCGCATCACAGCCAGACAGACCGCCAGGCCCCGTGGGCTCGCTCTCCTGCAGCCTCTCAGCTTCAGACAGGAAGCACGGGCAGGACCCTGGGGAGGAACAGCCCCCTCTGTCCCTTCTTCTGGAAACCCCACTGACCCTGCCTGTTGTCTGCAATTGGAATTCAGTTTTGTTTTTTTGTGGGTTTTTTTTTTTTTTTTTTTTTTTTTTTTTTTTTTTTTGAGACAGGATTTTGCTGTAGTTCAAACTGGTCTTGAACTCACTTCATAGCCCAGGCTGGTTTCAAACTCACGACAGTCCTCCTGCCTCAGCCTCCCGAGTGCTGGGATTACATGGAATTCAGTTTTGTTGGATACCATGGTGCAGGTTCTCTGCTTACACAGGGCAGCGGTTGCACCACAGTCGTCTTCATGGGCAGAGCGTGGTTTCTGATGACACGAGCTGCTGCTCCTCTCCCGAGCTGCTGCCCCGCTCCCGCAGCCCATTCTTGGGGTCAGCAGCGCTGCTCCGTGTGTGTCTCGCTGCAGAAGCAGCAGGCAGACCTCTGCTGTTTTCCCCAAGACCTCTTGTAAACCTCAGGCTTTTGTTTTTAACCCTGAGCCAGCTCACAAGGGTAATTTCTTCCTGGTATCTGCCATCGGGTTTCTTCTCTTATCTTTACTGAATTTTGGTGCTTACATAAACATTACCCATGAGTCACAGAGCTGTAGCTCAGCTATTTATACCTCTGTTTTTCTAAATTGCTCCTCCACCCCCTCAAGGTTAGCACTGAGCACCTGTTGGTAAAGAGATATTTCATGCGTCAGCTTGGAATTTGTGATTAAAACAGAGGAGTGGTTCTGTTGTCGTTTCTTCCCAGTGGCTCTGTGTTCTCCGTGTGTAGGGGTTTGCTGCTCAAGCTGGTGGGGCCAGAGAGCTGTGCTGACCACACACGCTCCTCAGCCAGACGGGCACCCGCTCTGCTGACTCGCTCGCTACCTGGGGATATTGGCCGCTCAGAGTTTTCAGCGAGGGGTGGCATGGTTGTGGAGCCTCCAGAACGTCCCACGGGAGCACAGACAGGAAAGGTGGTGGTCTTGCTGTCCTCCCCTTCTTTTCTGTGCTCCCTTGTTTCTGACTGTCACAAAGGACTGACGGTGGCCCTCACGACCATGGAGCACGACCTCTGTTCAAGGAGTCTCGAGCCATCACCCTAAACCCACTCGCTTAGTGCACTGTGGGTGAGGCTCGGGGCTCTGACTAGTTTCAGTGTAGGTCTGCCTCTCAGTAGCTGTGTGAGCTCAGCCTGCACACTGCTACCTCCTTACCATTCAGATGAGGTAATGACAGGGCCAGCCCAGGACACAGCTGGACAGAGGCGGTATTATCGCTAGCCTTACTTCCTGGCCTGCCCTGAGACCTCAGGCCTGCCCTGTCGTGCCAACTTGATGAATTAGTAACAGTCCCTTCTAAAAATTTTGTGGTTTCAGTAGCAAACGAGGCAGTCTCCCTAGTGAAGCACTTAGTGGTATCTATTCTCAGAATCTGTGTTATGTATCAGCGTGAACTTTTTTCCTAGTACTGAGGGCTGAACCTGGGACCTTCACACTGACAAACTGAGCTGCATCCTCGGGCCCTTTTTGTTTTTTGAGACAGGATCTCATTAAGTTGCAGAGGCTGGGCTCAAACTTGTGATCTTCCTGCCTCAGCCTCCCAGAGTACTGGGATTATAGGCATGTACCACCAAACCTGATTTGTTAACTAGTTTTATTGTTCATTCAGGCTAGTTTTTAGGACCTCTTTGCCCTCTGGCTGTAAAGATTCAGAGGTGAATAGGCTATACCCTCCCCTTCAGACAGACACAGCCTAACAAAAGCTGGGTTGGGGGACCAGGGTGAGAGACGGTGTCAAGATGAGTCACAGAGGATGGCATATTGTGTGTGGGAGGATGAAGTGACAGAATCGATCAGGGCATAACATTTTCTGGAAGGTGTTGGCACCACGTTGGGCAAAGATGGACTGAATTGTCTACCTCTGGTCTGCAGAGTGCGTATCCAGGGAATGCCATTGCTGCACTGAGCGTAAGAGATGAATTGGAGGCACCTGAATGTTCAGTAGCGAGAACATCAAGCTGCAGTCTGTTTTCTCTGTGGCATGCTATGCAGTCACGGAAAGGTGAACTTGAGGGCTAGAGGTGTAGTGCAGTGGAAGAGGGCTTCCCTAGCTTCTGTGAGGCCCTGCTATGGGAAGAGTTCTAAGACCTACTGGGTTTTTTGTTTGTTTGTTTGTTTGTTTGTTTTTGGTCTTTTTGAGACAGGGTTTCGCTCTGCAGTTCAGGCTGGCCTTGAGCTCACTTTGTAGCCCAGGCTGGCCACGAACTCGCAACAATCCTCCTGCCTCAGCCTCCCAAGTGCTGGGATTGCAGGTGTGCGCTGCCATGCCTGGCCTAAGACCTATTGTTACATTTTAAAAACTACTTTTTTTTTTTTTTTTTTTGGTACTGGGAATTGAACTCATGACCCCAGGCTTGCCAGGCAAGCACTTGTGCCACTGAGCTACATCCCCTATTGTTACATTTTAAGAAAGTAAATTAAACTGTCATCCATCCATTCCATGAATATGTATTAAATGTCTACCCTAGCCGGGCGTGGTGGCACATGCCTGAAATCTTAGCACTTGGGGGGCTGAGGCAGGAGGATTGTTGTGAGTTCAAGGCCAGCCTAGGCTACAAAGTGAGCTCAAGGCCAGCCTGAACTGCATAGTGAGACCCTGTCTCAAAAAGACAAAAAAAAAGATGTCTACCCTAAGTTGAGAACTGTCCTTGCAGTCGGGGCTACAGTAATAACCAAGACCAGATTGGGTTCCTGCCTGCAGAAGACAGTAAGTGTGTAAGAAGCACATCCGGTGAGTGTGCACAGTGCGAAGAGATGAAATCAGTGATGTAGCAGTGGGAGGACGAGCAAGTGCCCAGAGCCCAGACAAAGGCAGTAGGGGCGTCAGTGAGGGAGGCGGTACTGGGTAGCAGGTGTCCAGGGCCCCAGGTAGGGGGCTGGAGCTCAGCAGGCCTGGGAAGGAGGAAGACAGTCTGGCCGAAACAGTGGGCCTCATGCCTCAGGGCTCTGTAGGCCTAAGGAGGAATTAGAGTCCCTGCAAGAATCAAAGGCCTTTGAAAAGCATCACTATGCTAGCTGGGTGTGGTGGTACGTGCCTATAATCCCAGCACTCGGGAGGCTGAGGCAGGAGGATCTTGCAAATTCAAGGTCAGCCTGGGCTGCAAAATGAGTTCAAGACCAGCCTAAACTGCATAGTGAGACCCTGTCTCAAAAAGACAAAAAAAACTCACTCTGCTATAATAGGAGTGCTCTGTGTATTGTGACCCCATTTACAACCTTTTAAAAGATAGGTAGACTTTATAATAGCAGAGTAAAAGGACTGGGAAACTACATACCAAGGTGTTGATAATAGTTACCTCTGGGAATTCACCTTCATTCTTTTTTTTTTTTTTTTTTTTTGTCTTTTGGAGACAGGGTCTCACTATGCAGTTCAGACTGGCCTTGAGCTCACTTTGTAGCCCAGGCTGGTCTCAAACTCAGAACAATCCTCTTGCCTCAGCATCCTGAATGCTGGGATTACAGGTGTGCCCCACCACGCCCAGCCTCACCTGCACTCTATACCTTGAGGAATCTAAATTTTTTTTTAGGGGCCAGGGATATAGCTCAGTGGCACAAGCAGCGCCTGCCTGGCAAGCACAAGGTCCTGAGTTCGATTTCTGGTACCAAAAAATAAATAAATGTTTTTTAGCAAAATATGTTTGTTATTGGGCAGTTAACAAAGAAAACTGGGCATGGTCTGACTCAGCTCTCAAGAAGTACAGCTGACTTCACTCCTGGGGAAACAGTACCAGGATCCTTTTCACTGCCTTTTAGACTTGGATACCTTTGTCACAACCATCAGAAATGGCATTTAACTACAACAGATGTGTTTCTTCTCCTTTTCCCACCCTCCCTTGCTCCTGACTGTCACAAAGTGGGTGGCCCTCAAGACCACGGAGCAGAACCTCCCTTCCTTGGAATCACTGGGAATGGCGAACCGTTTCCCTCGGCCTGCGAGTTTAGAGCATGGCTGAAGGTCTTTTTAGCATTATTATTTGCTCTCTTAAAGGGTCTTGCCTTCTTTTTTTTTTTTGAGACGGCTTCTTGCCATGTAGCCCAGGCTGGCCTCAAATTTAAGGCGGTCCTCCCACTCAGCTTCCCAAGTCCTGGGGTTACAGGCCTGCGCCACCAGGCCCAGCAAGATCTCCCCTCTGCAAGAAGCATGTTACAGTGTTTAAATAGCCGCACCTCCTACCTCACTTAGGAAACTAAGCCTGGCTGCACCCACGCACCCGTGACTTCCAGCCTGTGCAGTGTGCTGCAGCAGGTGGCGGTGCTCTGGGCGGTGGGCCGGCCCCCGCCGTAGGAGGGAACATGGGCAGGCTCCCGAGTGCGCCCCGGGCGCTCACACCGACTGCTCGCCTGGTCTCTCTGCTGTAGCCCCCGCTGCCCCTTCCACACGCAGGCCTGGGGTGCAGGTAGCCTTTCCCCGTTTCAGTAGGTCATGTGTACAGGCGGCCTCCGTGATCTGAACTCAGCCCCCAGATGGGGTTTGTTTATCCACATAGAAAGTGTCAAACGGTTGAATCAGTTGTTGGCATAAAAAGTTTAAAAATTTCCCATAAGAAACAGATTCCTGGCTCTGGGGCCTCGGCTCTGCACAGGCTGCTGCTCCTTCTGGGGCCCCGGCCCCCGCTCTCCCCCACTGATCCTCACTCTGTGTTTTCGCTGCCTGGCCCTGGCCTGGTGCCCTGGCCTGAGCCGGCCAGCCCCATCCTTCCTTTGCTGAGCTGTCCCTTGCTGCAGCGCGCTGAGACAGGACGCTCCGGAGCGGGGTTGGGGCAGGACTGCACGTACACAGCCAGTTCAGCAGCCGCATCGTCTGCAGTGTAATTCTGGGATTTTCCCCCTCTTAGACATGGCGGAGAACCAGTTAAGCCCTGTTTCTCTGAAATCCCAGGAATGAGTGAAAACTTTACTTCTAAAGATTTACTTGTAATATGTGTATTTTAGCATCTCATGTGATGTCTTAAAAAAATCCTCAGCTTCCACACATAAATACAGGCCCCTTTCCAGCTGTTACACAGGATCTACCGAGATCTATGGAGAGCTGCGTCCCTCAGGAGTGGTGCAGGGCAGGGACAGACAGGGACACTCAGGTGGCGAGCAGGGAGGGAGGCTGTAGGTATGCTCAGGAGGGACTCTGAAGAAACGCTGCACTACCCTCTTACAACTCTCCGTATTAGAGCAGTGACATACGAGGAGTACTGGAAAATGCAAAATGAAGGAAAAGTATTGTAGAAGTCCATGTAGCCAGTTCTGATGGCACACGCATCATCCCATACTTGGGAGGCTGAGACAGCAGACTCACAAGTTTGAGCCACTCCTGGGTAACCCAGCCAATTAGCAGAACCCTGTCTCAAAGGAAAAGACATAAAGAGGGCTGGGGAAGTAGCTGAATGCAGAGGCCTTGGGTTCTGCCCGGTACCACCAAGAAAAAGAACAAAGGAAAGTCCACTCAAGTCTGCCCTTATGTACACTCAGGTTCCTATGTCTGCTCCGACACCCCCAGCATGCCACTGCCCCTTACACCAAGGCCAGCGGGGTGCCTGGTCCTACAATGGCCGCTTCACAGGACCTCTCCTTTTTTTTTTTGGTCTTTTTTGAGACAGGGTCTCACTATGTGGTTCAGGCTGGCCTTGAGCTCACTTTGTAGCCCAGACTGGCCTCGAACTTGAAAATGGTCATCCTGCCTCAGCCTCCCAAGTGCTGGGATTACAGGCGTGCGCCACCACACGTGGTGCATGCAACCTGTCCTTGCTGACACTCGTTTTTTATCTTTTGGAGATAGGGTCTCACTCTGCAGTTCAGGCTGGCCTTGAGCTCACTTTGTAGCCCAGGCTGGTCTCAAACTCGCCACTATCCTCCTGCCTCAGCCTCCCAAGTGCTGGGATTACAGGCATGCGCCACCACTCCTAAAAAATGAGGGGTTTTTTTGTTTGTTTTGTTTGGTACCGGGAATCAAACTCGGAACCTTATGCTTGCCAGGCAGGCGCTTGTGCCACTGAGCTATATCACCAGCCTTGCTGACACACCTAATGTGAGAAAACAACTGGAGAGGGAGGCAGGTCGCCCATGGTCACCCAGCTGGTCCCAAAGCAAGGCGAGGCCCTTGTTACTTCTCTGTAGCCTTCGGGAGGCCTCAGGTTTCTTTTCTTTTCCTTCTCCCTAAACCCCTAGGCTCCAGGCCCCGGGGACTTGTAGGAGGGCAGCTGGTGTGGGTGTCGCATGCAAGTGCTCTTCTGTGTGCTCAGGCCTGTTTGCTCTGCCCCTGTCGCCCTGCAGGCATCATGGCCATCCTGTTCTCAGGCATCGTGATGTCACACTACACACACCACAACCTCTCCCCGGTCACCCAGATCCTCATGCAGCAAACCCTCCGGACCGTGGCCTTCTTGTGCGGTAAGTCAAACCCTGCTGTTTGCGCGAGTGTGCCCACTCAGGGAGAATTGGCTTTGTACCCTGCTCTGGGGTCTGCTGAGACATCACCTGGCAGCAGGACAGCCGCCCCTCGTCCTGTGCTTGTCCCTCCGGCTTTGCAATTCTATAAAGCAGGCCTAACATTTGCGAAATGGAATATTTGATGCCAACAATTTTAAGACCAAAAATAATGCAAACTACTGATTATGGACATTTGAGGCCTGTGTTTTGAATGTAGGAAAGTGACATTTCAAAGCTGCTGTCTTGGGGCTGGGGATTTAGCTCAGCAGCACAGCACCTGCCTGGCAAGCGCAAGGTCATGAGTTCGATTCCCGGTACCGGCAAAAAAACGAAAAAAAAAAAAAAGTGCTCTCTTTGGGAGTGATATTGATGATGGCTGGATGAACAAAGGCTCCAGGGAAAAAAAATTTTAAAAGAAAAAAAAAAGGCTCCAGGGGCTGGGGATTTAGCTCAATGGTGCAGCACCTGCCTGGAAAGTGTGAGGTCCAGGGTTCGATCCCCAGTATTTCCCCCCCAAAAAAGGGGGTCCAAGGTGAAAAACTAATGAGAATCCTGGGTTACTATTTGGGATTTTTTGTTGTTGTTGTTGTTTATTTTTTTGTTTTGTCTTTTTGAGACAGGGTCTCGCTTTGTAGTTCAGGCTGGCCTTGAGCTCACTTTGTAGCCAGCCCAGGCTGGTCTCGAACTCGCAATGATCCTCCTTCCTCAGCTTCCCGAGTGCGGGATTACAGGCGTGCGCCACCACACCTGGCTCCTTGGTTACTATTGAACAGATTCTGGACTACAAGATTTCACCACTGTGTCAAAGGGGGACAGTCGTCCAGCATTTCTCGGACTTGTCCTCAGGGCCCTTTGACAAGGGCATTTGAAGGGCCAGGCTGGGGGGTTTGCAGTGGGATGACACTGGCCGCCCTGGGATGGACCCCAGAGAGCTTCTGTTAGTGACTGCAGTTTGAGCTCCTTCCTGTCCCCCTTCCCCAGCCTCCCACAGAGGCTCCTCCCCTGTTTAGATGTGGAGTAAATGAGCCACCCTCATACTGTCCCTTGGAGCTGGCCCACTGGCTGTGCCTCAGCTGCCATTGCCAGCACCCACTGGCTTTTCTGGACCTTAACCTCCTTTTGAAGCCCTGGTTCCACTCTGTCACCTGCCAGAGGGAGGGGCTGGCCTTGCAGAGAAAGGAGCCTCAGGTAAGGAAGGTCCACACTGGCGGGAGTCTATAAGCCAGGCCTCTGTCCTGCATGGCTGCTATGTTTCCTCCACACCACCCTCCTCAGAAAGCCATGCCTGAAGATTCTGACCCTGGCCCTCACATTTAAAAGAACCCAAAGCAAAATACCCATAAAATTTGCTTTATAAACTAGGTGTGGTGGCACACACCTGTAACCCAGCAGATGGGGGCGCAGGCAGGAGGGTCGCTGCAAGATCAAGGCCACCCTAGGCTGCATAGTGAATACCAGGCCAGCCTGAACTACAGAGCAAGACCCTGTCTCAAAACAAAAAACAAAAACTAAACAAAAATTCTGTTTTGTACCCATCAATCAGATTGGGAAATCGCAAGTTGGGAGTGCCCAGTCCTGGTGTGGGTAGTAGAAACCAGGCCCAGAGAGCAGGTGTGTGCACTGGGCCATCACTTTTGGAGACTCATTTGTAGCATCTATCTGCATAGTCCAGAAGTCTATCCACAGAGGATGGGTTAAATTAACTGTGATCCCAGCACTCTGGAAGGCTGAAGCAGGAGGATTGCAAATTTGAGCCCAGCCTGGGCAACTTAGTGACTTAGTGAAACCCTGTCTCAAAAATAATAATTTACCATATATCTGTGTACTAGAATTTGTGCTGTCAGGGAAAAGCACAAATTAGATATGAATGTGTCCCAAATACACTGATTTGGAATTGATCACAAAAATATTTAAAATAAAAAATTTTCAAGGAGGGCAAGGATGAGTATACTTTGCACGTGTGGACTTGTTTTTAAAAAGATCCACATTGGAAGAAAAAACCTTGCTGAAACGTTTTAGAACAAGCTCATTTGTCTTTTGATGTTCAGTTATTTTATTTTATTTTATTTTTTTCTTCTGTCTTTTTGAGCCAGGGCCTTGCTATGCAGTTCAGGCTGGCCTTGAGCTCACTTTGTAGCCCAGGCTGGTCTTGAACTTGCAATGATCCTCCTGCCTCAGCCTCCCCTGTGCTGGGATTACAGGCTTGAGCCACCACGCCCGGCATGTTCAGTTATTTTAAAATATACAGCCTGTGTCTCCCCAGTTACCGGGCTATTCTGGGGATGTCATAGTTGAAGCAAGGAGCCTGGCCGTTCATAGGGTGCTTTTCCTTTTGATACGCACAGAAGCCCAGAGCCAGCGTCAAGCTCCTTCGGTTTGCAGAGCCAAGCACAGAGCTGGAAATGGGTCTCCTTCTGCCGGTCCCGCTGGGCTTGAGCTGCGTCCTGAATTGTGCCACTGCATTCAGCATGGCTCCATATGTCCAGGCAGTCGCTTGGCGCGCTTTGCTCTGGCAAGTTAACAGAAGGCCCTTTCATACTTGTCACGTGGCGCCTGCCGTCATTTGCTTGAATTTGTGCCACTTTGCTGCGGGATCCTGGCTAATCACAGTGTTCTGCAAATGGAGAGATTCTTATGTTTATAGTCTTCCTAGGGTGGGCTAATATTTATTTGAGGAAGTAATTGACAGTTGACTCAGGACATTGGGGAATTGTGAATAGCAGTGGACAGCAGGGGGCGAGAGAGAGACAGAGACAGAGGATATAAGTGCAATTTTTTTTTTTTTTTGAGACTGAGCTTCACTAATGCAGACTAGCCTTAAACTTGCTTATGTAGACCAGGCTGGCCTTGAACTCATGGCAGTCCTCCTGCCTCAGCCTCCTGAGTGCTGGGATTACAGGGTGCGCCACCACACCTAGCTAAGTAGAAAGTTTGATCAAAGTATTGGCTACAGAATTTTTCAGAAAATAGTGTTATATTGGACTGGGACATCTGAATGTTTGCTTGCTTAATGATTTAGCGGTGTATTATAAGAAAATAGTTGGGGCTGAATAATCCATTCTTTGGTTTGTTTCAGAAACATGTGTGTTTGCATTTCTCGGCCTGTCCATTTTTAGTTTCCCTCACAAGTTTGAAATTTCCTTTGTCATCTGGTGCATAGTAAGTATTTTACTTGTTTTTTATTTAATTGCTTATTTGTAGATCAATAACCACATTTTGGATTCACTTATGTAACTGTTAATTACTGAATATTAACAGCTACATAGACACTTTTCCATTTAAAGTCTGTTTTGTTAAAAAAAATCACAAACATGTAATATGGAGGTAAGGCATGGAATTAAGTGAACGAATGTCCCCGAAAAGGACTCTTGTTTTTTCATTTTCAGTGGTCTTGAATGTTACAAGTTTATATGGTTTGTTGGTTTGTTTGTTTGGCTCGGTGGTAAAAGCAGATTTCAGAATTGATTGAATAATAATTGTAATCGTGTAGAAATGTTATATATAGAAAAAAATACTGCCGAATGTTCACAGTGGTTGTAAAGCTAGAGATTTTCTTTCCTACTTTTCCTGGGTGATTCATAGTGAATAGCCTTACTTAACTCAGTTTCATTTCCAGTGTGTCTCTTTGAAAGCGTGACCCTGGACGCCGGGCCCCAGGCCGGCTCTCCCTGGGCATCGGCCGGGGGAGCAGCTCAGGCAGTGCTGACGAGCAGGATTCGGGACACAGGGTTCCAGCTGGACTGGCGGTAGCAGTGGGACACCGATCAAAATGCACTGTTTAAAAAGGAAAGAAAAATGTAATCAGCTGAATCATGTGGCTGCGTTCGTTGTGGTTCAATATGTCAAGTCAGTCGCTGAGTGAAATGGGAGAAATAAGTGTTTAGCATTTAAAAGAGAGGCCAGCCCACTCGAGTGTGCGATCCAGGTGACATAAAGGACATCCAGCTCCTGGGCACAGGCGGGCCCAGGCCCTCATCTGCGCTCCTCTTCCGTCTCTGTTCCCTCCGTGTGAGCTCAGGGCCTGCAGGCCCTGCTGCTGATTCACACTCTAGTCTAATCCAGAATTGGATCCCTTCAGACCCTGTTAATTCAAGATGCTAGCGAGGCATGCTTTACCGATGGAGCGCAGCGTAACTCCCCTCAGTTAGCTTGTCTTGCCACTTGTCAGAACACAGCTCTAACGAAGCAAACTTTTTCCTTTTTCTTTGTCTTTTTGAGACAAGGTCTCGCTATGCAGTTCAAGCTGGCCTTGAGCTCACTTTGTAGCCCAGGCTGGTCTCGAACTCACAGCCATCTTCCTGCCTCGGCCTCCCAAGTGCTGGGATTACAGGCGTGCGTCACCACACCCAGCTTAGGAAACTTTTTTAAAGCACTGTCACCATGCCATGTGGCAGATTGGTGAGGCCGGCCTGTGTGGCACACAGGGAAGCTGAGACACAGAGGATGAGGAGCCCTAAAGACGTCCACTGTGGCATCTGGATGCTTCCACCGTCTGCTAGCAACAGTTCACTGCTGTCTGTCACAGCCGCCTGTCCCCACACATGGATTTCAGGACAGGAGAGCAGCAGAAGCCTTTACAGTGCATAGTGGTCCTCAGGGTGCTCACCGTGGGAAGGGGCCGTGTTGGGTGGGAGCTGAAACCCAGGTGTAGGAATGGAGACCAGGTGTCAACAGGTAAAACGGGTAAGTGACTTTGTGGCCATGGTTGGAGGAAAGTTCGAGTTTCCCTGAGCGCCCGAGTGCAGCTGGCTCCTGGGCGAGGAGGCGCCGGGGTGTGGGTGGTTATGCTTCCACCCTCAGACTCCACTCACTGGTCTCGGGCACACGTGGGTCTGAGCCAGTTTTGCATCCACCTCTTCCTGTCTGGTCATCTTGGACCAGTTACTTACCCTCTCTGTGCCTCTGTTTCCTTGGCTATGAAGTGGGGGCAGTAACACCTGCTTCATAAAACCACTGCAAGGATTTAAATGTAGCCACATAGTACGTGCAGCGCTTCGCACATTGTCTGGCGTGGAGAAGTCGGATGATTGGGAGCAGCTGTTGTTAACCGGACCGTCAAAGGCACGCTCAGGTCACGCTCAGGGAGAGTAAACTTGAAGCCTAAAGCATGTGCGAGCATCTGTCAGCCTCCTCACGTTAGCCATGGGCAGAACCCAGATGAAAATGAGAGTAGCCGGGTGCGGTGAGGCACGCCTGTAATCCCAGCACTTGGGAGGCTGAGGCAGGAGGATCGTTGCAAGTTTGAGACCAGCCTGGGCTACAAAGTGAGCTCAAGGCCAGCCTGAACTGCATAGTGAGACCCTGTCTCAAAAAGACAGAAAAAAAGAAAGAAAATGAGAGTAAATTCATGAAGAGTTCTAAGCCACCACTTGGGTGAAGTTTAAACTTTGTACATAAAGCTATATTTTGTTCTGGTTTCTTCTGCGGTGTAGGGAATAGGACCCAAAGCCTGGCGTAAGCTTCATGCGTGCTAGGCAAGCGCATCACCGCTGAGCTGCACCCTAGGCCCCCCCGGAAAGCTATTTTTTGTTAGAGATGACTCGCCTGTGGAGGGGATAGCACCAGAAACACGGCAGCAGCCGGCTGGGCCAGGCATGTGTAGCTTCTCTTGGAGCACACTACGTGTTCCTTCGCCTCAGGTCATTTCCGCCCCGCCTCCGCCCTCGGAGCCCTCCCTGCTTGCCAGAAGGGCAGCCTCCACAGGAGAAGCAGAAACACCTTGTCTGTCATCCAGGTGTGGTGGCATGCCGCTGTAATCCCAGGATTCAGGGAGGCTGAGGCAAGAAGTTCCTACCCAGCCTGGGCAATTTAGGGACTTCATAAGACCCTGTCCCAAAATAAAGAAGGACTGGCAAGGTACCTCCGTGCAAAGACTTTGGGTTCAATTTCCAGTATCAAAAAAATAAAGAAGGAGAGACAGGCTTAGCTCAGCTGGAGGGAGGTCAGAGCGGCTGTCCCACGGCGAGGCCCTGAAATTCTGCTCTGGCACAGCCCCTGGCATCCCCCGGTGTTGTGGGTCATCACTGCACTGGTGTTTTCTTCCGCAGCAACGTGCAGGGCTTTATCTGGACCCACAGAAACCGGCATCCCCCCGCGCACTGGGGCCAGGTCTCGCCTGCCACTGTCGCTCGTTCCTTCTGTGTCGCGGTGGGCCGTCACCTGGTCTGCGCCTGCCACTGTCGCTCGTTCCTTCTGTGTCGCGGTGGGCCGTCACCTGGTCTGCGTCAGCTGTGACAGGCTTCAGCTTGGGAAGCGAACAGGACTTCTGCTCAGGGCCCATTGGTTCTCCGCAGGTACTCGTGCTGTTCGGCCGCGCAGTGAACATCTTCCCTCTCTCCTACCTCCTGAACTTCTTCCGGGACCATAAGATCACGCCGAAGATGATGTCCATCATGTGGTTCAGTGGTGAGCGGGCCGGGCCGGGTGGGGTGGGGGCGGTGAGGAAGGCAGTGGCGGACAGGCTTATCGGCCAGAGCCCTCGGGAGCCGCTTTGCCTCCGAGCCAAAGGCAGTAAAGCCCCGCTGAAGGGTGCTACTTAGGCAGGCCCCTGCCAGCCGCGGGCGGGGAGGCCACACCAGCGCCACACGCGAGGAAGCTCGGGATCCTGGAGCGAGTGCAGAGGCTGAGCGGGGGCCCCGTGGCCCCAAGGCAGAGCCAGGGCTCACCTCCCTTCTTCCTGGACTCCTCGCAGCTGGGTGAGCTGGGTGCGCCCCTCACTTGGTCTTCTAGGCTGAAGTAATCATTGGCTCAGAATTTTAAAAGCTGAAGGTTGAAACTTTGCTGTGGTACATGTTTGTTTTTACAGCGCTGCGGGTGGAGCCCGGGGCCTCCCCAAAGGCTAGGCAAGCGCTCTGCCCTGAGTCGCGCTCCGAGCCCCTACGCTAATTGCTGGGTTTGGTTTTGTTTTGTTTTGTTTGAGGTTAAGTAGGAAATTTTATTGGGGAATATGAATGGGGACTAGGGAACAAGAACAGCTCCTGAGAGACCCGAGGGGACCCGAATGAATAGGTCGCTCCTACACTAATGTTGAGCACTCTTTCCCTTCAGTCACAAAAGTCTCACAGTTTTTAAGTGTTTCAGTGCCTGTTCAAGCATACTTCTGTACTTTTTCAAATTTGAAAATGATTTCATAAATCTTTGGATCCAAAAGAACTGGATCCTTAGGCATCTTATTTTTGATCACTTCTCGGCCTTTTGGCTAAGATCAAGTGTAAATTTATTTTTGAGGAATACATAGAGTTCTTTACACTTTCTTGTTTAAATATTATAATTGGAATATCTCCATGTGGATTGGAAATAGCAGTGTGCTTTATTATGTTCTTTTAGCAAAGTGTGTCTTTAAATTTGTCTCAGATTTCTCCTTTCAAAAAGCCTTGTTTCAAAAATATGTGTGTGTGAGCTGGGCATGGCGGCGCACTCCTGTGCTGGGGCTGAGGCAGGAGGATTGTGAGTTTGAGGTCAGCCTGAGCTACAAAATGAGTTCAAGGCCAGCCTGAACTGCATAGTGAGACCCTGTCTCAAAAAGACAAAAAAAAAAAGTGTGTGTTTGACATCCATGTATGTGAGTAATGCATATATTCACGTATAGTGAGAGAAACTCATTCTTGCTGAGGAGAACAGTGTACTGTGAAGTAGGTAATCCAAGGTCAGCCACCATCCGGTCCCCACCCTCCTGCTGGCCCGTCCCCTCAGTCCTGGCCACACCTCCCAGCTGGGTCCACCCCACTCTTTCTCCTCACATTGTCACCTCTCATCTGCTGCACTAGAACGGGCCTTGCCCAAGTCACCAGGGACCTGCTGCCGCCAGACCAGCAGGGCACCAGCCAGCCTCCTTCCTGGCCCATCCCCTGGGCTTTGTGCCCCTCCCCGCCACACTTGCCACCCGGCCCTCACCTCTCCCCTTGGGGGGAGGTTCTGCCGGGCTCCTCCCAGGCTGACCCCGCGGGCAGTGGCCTCCTGCTGCTGGACCTGTGGTCTGCGCTTTGCTGAAGGGACTCCCCTCGTCCCTGGCCGTGGGCTCCGTCTTGGTCCCCCTGACCAGGCCCTCCCCTGGGGTCCACATGCTGCTGCTCAGGGTTTCCTGTCACGCTGGGCGACGCCGAGCATGCAGAGCGCCTCGCGCAGGGCGGGCACGCACACAGGACAGGCTCTGCCTGCAGCAGCGGTCACTCGAGTCACAGGCCCAGTGGCTCCCCGCACAAGCGCCTGGCGCACCGCAGCTGGGCCAGGTCACCTCACCCGACGGCTGGGCCAGCCTGGCTGTGAGTGCGGGCCACTTAGGCTGTCCCCACTCTGCGCCCTCCCAGCCTCTCCATGGGTCTCTCCCAGTGTCCCAGTGTCCGTGACGCTGAGCTGAACCCAGCCAGGGAAGCTGCACCTCCTCCGCCGTGCCTTCCCCGACCCGTACTGTCCCCTCAGGCCTGCGGGGCGCCATCCCCTACGCCCTGAGCCTGCACCTGGACCTGGAGCCCATGGAGAAGCGGCAGCTCATCGGCACCACCACCATTGTCATTGTGCTCTTCACCATCCTGCTGCTGGGCGGCAGCACCATGCCCCTCATCCGCCTCATGGACATCGAGGACGCCAAGGCCCGGCGCAGGAGCAAGAAGGACGTGAACCTCAGCAAGACGGAGAAGATGGTCAGTGTTACCGGGCGGGGCGGGCTGCTCAGCCAGCCAGGGGTGGCGAGCGAGGCGGGCCTGGAGAGCACGGCGGGCCTGGAGAGCGGGGCGCCTCCACAGGCGCAGGCGCACTAGTGCAGGCGCTGCGGCCGTGGAGGAGACGAGGAACCCGCGCTCTGAATCTGGCCCTTCGGGTGGAGGGGCAGGCCCACCCCGACCTGCTGAACCCACAGAGGTCACCGTAGGCACCCTGGGCTCCCCCGCGCAGCCTGGGGCACCGTTAGACTGCTCGCTGCCTCCTCCCTCCCCTGCCATGCGCCTACAAAAGTTATCGTGGTTGCCCAGCGTTTGCTGAAACCTCCTGTTGCGGCCCCAGCAGGGGCGGGTGGCGTGCGGTAACTGTGCGGGCACGAGGGCTGGCCTCCCCCAGGACAGAAGATGGGGAGAGGTTTGCGGGGGCTCTTCAGCCGTATCCCTGCTGCCCCCGGCAGCCACCCTCCTGCCCAGGTTCAGAAATGCGTCTTTCCCTAGTCTTCACTCGAGAGCGCCAGTAACTGTGGCTACTCACCAAAGCCCTAGCAGTCTTCATGTGGCTAATAGTGGGGTCAAGCCGGGGGGACCTGGCCTCACCCAGCCCCAGCCAGTGCTGCTGGCAGTACCTCAGCTGAGCTGCTGGGCTCACCAGGCCTGTTCCTTTGTGTGCAGGTTGCTCCCCTGCCCTGTCCAACCTTCTGGGTGGGTGGGTGTGTTTTAAGATAGGGTCTTTTTTTGGGGGGGGTCTTTTTGAGACAAGGTCTCCTTATGCAGTTCAGGCTGGCCTTGAGCTCACTTTGTAGCCCAAACTGGTCTGAAATTTGCAGTGATCCTCCTGCCTCAGCCTCCCAAGTGCTGGGATTACAGGCATGCACCACCACACCTGGATAAGGCAGGGTCTTGATATGTAGTTCAGGCTGGCTTTGAACTCACTGTGTACCCCAGGCTGGCCTCAAACTTGCGGTGATCTTCCTGCCTCAGCCTCCCAAGTGTTGGAATTATAGGGTTGAGCCACCATTGCTGGCTTCTTGTGTGTTTATAACAAAACTTCTTGGGCCAGGCATCGTGGCACACACCTGTAATCCCAACACTCAGGAGGCTGAGTGTCTCGGTTACTTTCCTCTCATTGCTGGGACAAAAATACCTGATGCCCAAAATTAAGGAAGGAAGGGGCTGGGGATTTAGCTCAGTGGCAAAGCGCCTGCCTGGCAAGCGCGAGGTCATGAGTTCGGTTCCTGGAGAAAAACCAAAAAAA